GAAGAAGCAGTATCTCAATCATTCGATAGCCAAGATAGCTCCAAGATCTTGATATCGATAACCATGATCTTGAGTCAATACTATCCTACGATAGTGACGAGAATGATGCTATATGCAGTTATTCAGATTATGACGAATCTTCAGAATCCTCATCCGAAGATGAAAAAGACGATTGTTGTTTCAAGATTACCCAGATGCCTCAAGAAGATGAACTTCAGACACCACATCTACCGGTAACCATCTTTGATCCTTCCAAAAGAGAAAAGCCAGTGCATGCAATCGCATTCTTCGACACAGGAGCTCATACAACAATCATAAATCCAAAGATTCTCTCACGAGCCATGTGGATGCCTCATCAACAAGATTTCAGAGTCGCAAACGCTGGATCCCTAACGGTTAAGCTAAAATCAAAACCAATCACGATAGAGCTTTTCCCTGGATGTCAAGTTACTAAGGAAGTACTAGGTTCATATTCCAGGTAAAGGGAGCGGTTCGGGCCTCATTGCCATCTGTATTGCTCAACCTACTGTCCTTTACCAATCTTTTGTTTCAATTGATACCATGATGAAAATAATTGTCAAAAGTTCAAATTTATTTTGCCAAAAGTTATTGATCCACTCAGTTTCTTATTTTAATTAATTAAAGTTTTCCCATTAGCCACCATAGTTTATATTTTTGCAAAATAAATATGATATAAAAATTTATTCATTTCAATTAACGCACTATTTAACAAAGTAATTATACATTAGTTTGATTAAAATGGGCTAAAATAAAGTGTGACTATGATGTTGTCACTTATTTACTTCAAAATAAATAAAATTTTGTAGTCATATACCATAAATACCCTTCCTTATATGTGGTTGGATAATTTTGGTAATAACATAAAAAATTTCCCAAAACTAGAAGATTTGATGTGGTTGGGTAACATAAAAAATCCCTAAAAACCGGCCAAAATCAACCGGTAAAGAAAACCGAACCGGACTAAATAGTAATAAAATTGAAAATCGAAGGGTAATAAATTCTGGAAACCCTTTTATTATTTAAGAAGACAGCAACGTGGATCTGGCAGACAAAGTATATTTATATATATATAAAAAGCCATCGTCCCAAAAATCACAGCCATCCATTTTCTCTCTCTAGCTCTCTCTCTCTCTCGTTCGAGCTTCCTTTTTTCCTCATCTCAATCTTCTTCAATCTCCAGCAATCTCTAATCGATCCTTCTTGAATCGTATGTTTTCTCTTTTATTGAATCTCTCTCTCTTCCTTGTCGTTGAGTTTGAATCTGCTGAATCTCAAAACCCTAATTCTGTTTGTTCCGAGTTTTTTTTTGGGATCATCGGTTTATTAGTTTGGATCGTTAATTGAGATTGAGATTGTGATTTTTGGATTAATCTACCTGTTTTTTTATATCAACGATGTGTTTTTCACTTTTGTCCGTTGACGCGTCTTTAATTGAACCGTCGCGGCGCATGCACAGATCAATTCTTCATTGTAGATTCTTTTTGTTTTTTTTTTTTTAATTATATTCTTAGTATTCGATCTGAAATTTTGAATCTTTAAAGTATTTTTTGAGTTTCTTCTGATGATTAATGGAGTTTCCGGCAAAAACAAGTGTTTTTCATTGTTTATCTAGATGTGAAATTAGATTTCCACAAGCCATAGTTATCAGATTTTGTAGTTGCAGAAAGTATCAAACTTTAACCAAAAATAAATTTGGTCTGTGGCAGCTTGGTTTTTGCTTGTGAATTTTATCTGATAGCTCATGAAATTAAATTTACTTTCTTAGTCTGTGGCCTTAACTTTGATGATTAATGTGTCTTATATTCTTTCTCTTAGACCATCATGAGTGACCATGGAGAGAAGACTTGTCCACTGTGTGCTGAAGAGATGGATCTGACCGATCAACAATTGAAGCCTTGCAAATGTGGTTATCAGGTCTTGAATCTGCCTTCGTTTTCTGTAAATTTCAGTTGATATGTTACGGCTTAGTCTTGAAACTGAAAATTATAGGGAGAACAGTTTTGCTTATTTCAATGTTCAATAGCTCTCGTCTGTCTCTGTTTTCATAACCGTTATAACCACTCTTATGTTAATATATACTTTTCTTGGCCTAGCTCAAGGTTTTTGCGCTATATTTATCTGTAAAGCATGAAAAATAGAATATATGTGATAAGCAATTGATCTTGCACTATTGATCTTTGCTCTGTTAATAATTTTGTGTATGTGATTCAGATTTGTGTTTGGTGCTGGCATCACATAGTGGACATGGCAGAGAAAGATCAAATAGAAGGGCGTTGTCCAGCTTGTCGCACTCCCTATGACAAAGAAAAGATTGTAGGGATGACTGTTGATTGCGACAGGTTTGTAACATGATACATTATCTCTTTCGGCGAAATTAATTTAGTTTGGGACAATCTTTTTCCGTTTATTTTGCTGATGGCTTTTCTCTATAATTACCTGTTCCCAGTCTGGCCTCTGAAGGCAATATGGAGCGCAAGAAAATCCAGAAGTCAAAATCAAAACCTTCTGAAGGGAGAAAGCAACAACTCACCAGTGTGCGTGTGATCCAGAGGAATCTTGTCTACATTGTTGGGTTGCCTCTTAATCTAGCCGATGAAGATGTATGATAACTAACATCCAAACCTTTATAATCATTCTTTTCTACAATTACTATCTGACTAGCGCTCCACTTTTCTTTCAGCTACTCCAACATAAAGAATATTTTGGTCAGTATGGAAAAGTTCTAAAGGTTTCGATGTCCCGAACAGCATCTGGTGTCATCCAACAATTCCCAAATAATACATGCAGTGTGTGCGTTTCTGTATATACTTCTTATCAAACAATTTCCCTCTTTGTATATTTATCTGACAATAATTTCTCGAATCGCAGATATATTACTTATGGAAAAGAGGAAGAGGCTGTTCGCTGCATTCAGGCTGTTCATGGGTTTATCTTGGATGGTAAACCACTGAAGTAAGTTTTGACTTGCTTATTTTTAAAAAACTAGAGTAGTATTTTTAAGTTTTTATATACACCTAATGATCATAGGTATGTTCTCACACTCTCTATATATTTGCAGGGCATGTTTTGGGACAACCAAATATTGTCATGCATGGCTGAGAAATGTGGTATGTCTCCTATAGATTCTTGTTCTGCTTGTTGACCTTCTGAGTTGTTATTTTTGGTTACCTCGTTTCAGATACATGTTGAAATTGATGTCTACGAAGTGATGAATTGCATGTTTTTATTTCAGGCGTGCGTTAATCCTGATTGTCTCTATTTGCACGAGGTTGGTTCTCAAGATGATAGCTTCACAAAAGATGAGATCATATCAGCCTATACAAGGTATTTTTATCGTCTAAAAATTTAAACTTCCCTCTTGCGTTCATGATTGTTCTGTTTCATGGTACCATTATCTTTAGTGTATGTAATATGATAGTTGGTCTAGTATTTTTGGATGATTAGTTAAGTCTTATAGTAATTTTGAAGGAGTAGAGTTCAACAAATCACTGGAGCAACAAATATTCTGCAGCACCGTTCAGGGAGCATGCTACCTCCACCACTAGATGCTTATTGCAGTGACAGTTCTTCTGCAAAACCAATTATAAAGGTTCCTTCAACTGTAAGTTCAGTTAAATCTCAACTTCCCCTTAACAAGATGAGCAATATGGCTTGAGACGTGTTCCAAGAATATGTTTTCTTAACTTCTGAGCAGATTGATTACACACCTTTTCCTAGGAACTTTAGCCTCAGAAAACTCTCCCAAGCCTTAAGAGGCCCCAAATCAACTACCATATAATCCACATCTGAAGTCTTTTGTATTTTTTATTCCTAGTTGGTGACTAACTTGATGATGTGGCATGACTAGCTTATTTCCTGTGTGCAGAGTGCAACAAGTGTTCCCAGGTATTCTCCGCCTAGTGGGAGTGGGAGCTCTAGCAGATCCACTGCTCTTCCTGCTGCAGCGTCATGGTAAGTTTTCACTTGATAGTTTTTATGCAGTCTTTTGATTGGTCAATCTAATAAAATAGGTAATTCTATTGCAGGGGGACACATCATTCTTTAGCAACTTCAGTTACCTCAAATGGATCTTCTGATATACAAAGATCAACATCGGTAAATGGAACCTTACCCTTTTCTGCTGTTGTTGCAAACGCAGCTCATGGGCCTGTATCCTCTAGTGACATTCTTAAAAGACCATCTCGCAAAAAAGAAAGCCAAATGGTTATGGACAAAGTCAAAACTAGCGTGTTGAAGCCCTTGCAGCATAATGTTGTGGTTTCTGTGTCCGAGAGAACTACCTCACCTGACAGAGATCCTACTAGCAATCGTTTATCCAGTTCAGTAGACTCTTCCTACGGTGGCAGAGACATTGACCAGCCTTCAGCCTACAGTGGCAGAGACATTGACGAGCCTTCAGCTACTGTGAACTCGTTTGATGATGTAAATGAAGCTATAGAAGATGTTCCTACTGTAAACAACTTGTCGGACGGTGTTGCACGCATGGGGATAACTGTGAATTGTAGGGATGAACGTCCTGATATTACAATGGCGATTGGTAGTCAGTGTGATCAAGGTTCTATTAGACAACCTGGTCATGAAGTATCAAAGTTGCCACATTTAGAGCAATGTAGGATGAATAGTTCTATAGACACTGATAAGAAAGCTATCCCGTTAGAGGATAGGGTCCCCCGCACAAGGCCAGAGTGGGATTGGAGATCAGATTTGCAATCGCAGATGCAAGGAAGCTCAAAATTGCAAGAGGAGGAAATATTATCATTTGATAGCCAGCGGCATCACCCTGAAGAGGATATTATCCACTCGCGGTTTCTGTGTAATTTGTCAAGTTCCAGTTTGGATACAAATCATATGGCTTCTCGTTCTTCCCTGCCTTGTGAAATTGCAGGTGTGAACGATTCAAATTTGAGGTCCTCTTTGGATAGCGGCAGTGATAGATTGCATCTTCCAAATGGATTTGGTGAGAGATCCATGTCCAGTGTGGAGCACTCTCTGTTTGCTAATGAAGACAGGAACAAAGTCAACAATGCAGAGGATCCTATACTTTCAAACATTTTGTCACTCGATTTTGATCCATGGGATGAATCCTTGACTTCTCCCCACAATTTGGCAGAGTTACTCGGTGAAGTTGATCAGCGATCTAGTACTCTTAAACCTTCAAACCTCCTAAAGCAACATAACAACCAGTCTAGATTTTCTTTTGCACGGTATGAAGAATCTAGTAATCAAGCATATGACAGTGAGAACCATAGCATTTATGGGCAGTTATCAAGAGATCAACCTATTCAGGAGTCTGTTGTGAGCCGAGATATCTATCGAAATAATCTCGGGAGTCTAAATGGATTTGCTTCAAACTACGCTGGTGGATTGGATAACTTTGCTGCTAGTCCTTTATTCTCTTCCCACAAAAATCCTGGTTAGTAGTTATAGTTTATGCTTTCTGTTATTTCTTGTTTGGATATTTTCTGCTACATTTCCAATTTCTCTTTTCTGTTGTCTTATTGCAGTTTCACGACCCCAAGTTTCTGCACCGCCAGGATTTTCTGCTCCCAACAGGCTACCTCCTCCTGGCTTCTCTTCACATGAAAGAGTGGGCCTATCTTCAGATACCGCACTAGGTATTCTTTTCTTTTATTTTGGGGTAGCATAGAGTGCGGATGATGCTAGAGACTAATACTATTGTCCACTTGTATCGTAGGAACTCGATTTCTTGACTCTACATCCTTATTGAGGAATGCATATCAAGTACCACCTCCAGTTGGTAATTCAAATGGTGCAAGTGATATTGACTTTGTGGATCCTGCAATTCTAGCTGTTGGAAGAGGGCTGGTAAATGCAGACTTGGATCTGAGATCAGGATTCTCATCACAACTGAATTCTTTTGAACACGAAACAGGGCTCCATATGTTGAGACAGCAGTCTCTGTCTGCTGCACACCAACAAGTTAATGGGTTTCATCATGATCTCAGAAACTTATCTCCTTCACTTAACGATCCTTATGGATTTAGCGCAAGGCTAATGGATCAAACACAGGGAAGTAGCTTATCTCCTTTCTCACAGCTCTCAAGGCAACAACCATCTGCGAATTCAATCTTGCCTAATGGTCACTGGGATAAGTGGAATGAAGGGCAAAGTGTGAACAGTATAGGCATGGCCGATCTTCGTAGGAATGAACGGCTGGGTTTTAATGGGAGCTTCTACAACAATGGTTATGAAGAACCGAAATTCCGGATTCCAAGTCCCGGAGATGTGTATAACAGGACCTATGGGATTTGATTCTGGCATGAAGAGAGGTTTCTGCGTTGTTGGATTTGCTTGGGTTAATCTCAATTCCCAAGTGTTGGAAAAGTCATACGGCTGTGCATATAGGACCAGTTCTCATACCAAAGATGCAGGCCCCTAACATAGATTCCCAAGAGCGTTTTTGAACTTGAAAGGTACTGAATCATTTTCTTCTATAATGTGTGATTTTGGTTTTATCCATTCGTTTCGATAGTAGTATATGTCAGTACTAAATATGTTCTCTTTTGCAGGAGCAGAGATGTTAATGTTTGGGTGCTTGGATAGATTTTGATTTCTGCTGATGATTGGTTTGGTCGGAATTCTGGCAAATTTTGAGGGTCCAACGATAACAGAGGTAGAAGGTGTGCCTTTGATTTTTTTTCTTTATATAAAGCAGTGTTCTAAAAAGCGGTCTAGGCGGTCGCCTAGGCCCCGACTAGGCGCTACGCTCTCATTCGACGCCTAGATAACCGCCTTGACCGCCTAAAATTACATAGATCTTGTTTTAATGTATTTTTTCAATTTCAATTAGAGTTTTATTTATATATATAGTTATAAATATTTATATATTATTTAATATAAATATAAATAAATATTTTATCTAGTTTTTGTTTATAATTTCATAATTTTTAGTTTTATATTGATATTTTATATAACTTTTATATATAATATCATATTTATAATGTATTATGTTATAAACATCTAAACCGCCTAAAAAATCGCCTAGGCCCCGATTAGGCGTTCTAGGCGCTAGGCACTGGGTCACCGCCCGCTTAGCGCCTAGCGCTTTCTTGAACACTGATATAAAGTTGTAAATGAATTTAGTTATAAAAACCAGTATAGCTTTTGAAAAGTATTCTATGAAACATCAAATTGTTATAGGAAATAAAAATCTTTCTTTGGGTTCTTGCCAATGTTGGTCAAAATGTCATATGAAACTTACTTCAGATTGAAGAAAGAATGTAATATAGAATTGATTTAACAAGGAGAAAAGCTTAGTGAGATTCTTAAGTGGGATTGAAAGATCAATCTTAATTCTTAACCCTCAAAAATCAAAATTTAGTTTAAACTCGGGACATTTTTTTTTTTTTTCTCAGTTTAAACTCGGACATAGGAAATGGTTTTCAGCGGATAGAGATAATGAACACAAAACCACGAAAGGAGAAACTAAAGTCAGAACGAATGAGTGAAGTTCGTGTCATAGATATTCGTGTAGCCGTGTAGGAGAAGAACCATTGTGGTAAAGGCAAACGTCTGATTTTTTTTAGCAAACGTTTTTGCCATAAAACATAAACGCTAAAAGAAAGAAAAAATAGATGGGACCATATTGTGTGCCGAGTTTTCTTAAGAATGCTATTGTACTTACATAATATTAGACCATATATAGAATTAGGACAAACATGATAACAACTACCACCATAATAAACCCCTCCGGGGCTCTGTTTCCAGACTGGTATTGGGTTGGTCCGTACTCTGTTGTGTCTCTGATTTTTTCTTATTCAAATTAGTAAATGAATCTTAAGTCTTGTACCTAGTTTGAGACATCAATACACAGTTATCATAGTCAGCAACGAAGCCTAAATGAGTCCAAGATGCTTGCAATGTTGCTTCCGTGAGATCTACGCAAGAGATGGATAAAAGGCATGAGCTTCTGCACCAAACCCCAAAACAGATCAATCTTAGACATCGCCTTGGTGAATCTCAGTGCCTTGACCACCACGAAATTCCCAAACTCATTCCTCGCCAGCCTCATCAACGTGTCTCCATCGCAATCCAAAAGCTCCACAACCACCACAAGCATTGACTCCTCCGCCTCCAAAAGCTTCTCCACGATGTAGCTTCCATACTTCTTAAACGAGAGATCAATGCAATGGCCAAAAAGATTAACCGCGATGTTGTGAATGCAACGCAACTCGTACAGTGTAAGCACATGTTGGACCACAAAGTTCCCTGAAGCATCGTTGCTTAGACAGAGAGCGTTGGATGCGACCAAGTCTAGTAGCTGATCTCTGTAGTAAGGATCGTCAGCGTCGGTTATGATATCGTTGAGTGCGATGCAGCCGTGTTGGTCACACGCTATGTCGAGAGCGTGGTAGAGAATGTGCTCGTACATTGGCTTTTTCATCTCCTTGTCGAAAACGACCATGCCTCGTATCGTCACGTAGGATGCGTATTTGTCGGTCGTGATGTGGAGGAAGCGGCGTAAGATAGCGGCACAGAAGAACGCGTCCACCTCATCTGATTTCCCGAGGAGCTTTTGCACGCGTCTCGAGCCGTACTTGTTTGTGACGATCGCCATGAAGTAATCGGAGTCTGACGTCAGCAACGACGCCATCCTCTGAAGCACTGTTTTGTCTGACTTTGAGATCATCTCCCTAAAGTAAGACACAGCTTCTCCGTCAGTCATTAGGTTGAACAGAGCTGTGTGCAAGGGCGTGGCGGAGGCGCCTGGGGCGAAACCTGGAGGAGGAATGTAACCGGAAATTCCTTTAGGGTATGGTGAAGCATTGAACATGGTCGACATTAAAAAGGAATTATCGGCGACTGCCATTAATGTTATCTCTTGATCTACAGAAATTACTCTTGAAACGGGTTTAATATTAATTTGTGTGATTTTGGAGAAGTATGAGAGACTTGTGAACAGGGCCGGTCCAAACTATTTGAGTGCCTAAAGCAAAAAAAAATTTGGCCCATTAACAAAAGCTGTTATAAAAAAAAAATACAAGTTTTAACATGTATGGGATTCAAAACCGTGACCTGTACAACAAAAGACTTCAATCTAACCACTAGACCACAGTAACATTTTAAAAATTGATGCCCCTAAAACTACTTATAATTATTTGATGCCTAAAGCCCTTGCTTCATGGGCCATACCCATGGGCCGGCCCTGCTTGTGAATGGGAGTGCGTAAGATCTGTGGTGATGCTTATAGTATTTATAGAAGTTAGGGCTTTTGTTTCTCTAGTTACAACAAGTCAGATTACTACTAGGAAAAGGAAACTTATTTGGTGGAATTTCCTTTTTTTCTTGTATTTTCGTAACTATTATGATTTTACTAATAATAATTTATCTGAAAAAAATGGAAATAAGTTGAATTTTTGTAATCTACAACGTTCTACCAAAAAGTAGAATTAATAATTTTAGCCAGGAAAACCAAATTAAGTCGGTTTCGTTTGTAAAAAAGGAAAACAACAACTAAAGAGCTTTGAATAAAGTGATAATAACTTCTGCTAATTTTTTTTTTGTTTTTCACATCACAAAAGTCTTTGAAGTCGTTCTAATTCATATATGGTTTGTGTAGTCAAGTCTTTTACCCCCCGGGTAAAAAAACTGGAGCAAAGAAAAAGGTTGTGAAGACTAATTCACTTAAGAAAAGGAATTTGCAAAGAAAAAAGAGAAGAAACAGAGAATGTATAAACCCTGCCTCTGCATTCTTCAACCACACGCTATTCATCCTCGTCTCATTATCGCTTCCGTCTGGTGGTCCATGGAGCTTAAACCTGCATTTGATTGAAACCATCAATCTTCAGTGTGTGAAAAAGATATAGATCTTCTTGGTGCATCAAATGGACCATCACCTATTGATGTAGAAATTTCCTTCACTGCATATCACAGTATCATCATCTTTGCCTTTTTGTGTGAAAAAAGAACCACAATGAGAAACACCAAAACTAGAACAAAAACCAATTCAAGGTGTTGAAGAATTTGATGGAAAGCACAAGCCAAGATGAGAGCCACAACTGATACAGAACACTGGACGCATTATACTACTACTTAAGCCTATTTCTCAAGTATGAGAAAATTCAGTGGAAAGAAATCTCTAAACTCTGAGAAATCGTTGTCGATCTTACCCAGAAGAGGTAGATTTGCCAAAGAGCAGATGAACAAATGTTTTCGAATTTTCCCACGAATCGATTTATAAATTATATGAGAAATTAAACAGTCCCCAAATCACGGCCCATGATAGACGGTTCATGGCCCACAAGTGCCATGTTGAGCCTGTTAATACGAATTTGAGTTAGGCCGTATGAGTTAACCGGGAATTATCGAGCTGAAGAGAGAACCGGAGCTACTGTTGAAAGATTATTCCGAGAAAATCTTTCCCAAAAAATTATGTGAAACGTCTAGCTCTTTCGATCACTTTCTACAACGACCGATAAAGCTTCACCTAACACAGCGGGCAGCGACGGAGGTCGTTCTCCGGTAGTTGATGATGGGAAATCGTAAATTCCATGGAATAAGAAGGGTATAATCGTCATTTCAAGTCAGGTCAACCGACGATACTGATACGAACGAAACTTCGGCCCAAATTGAGTTTATGGGCCCAATATCATATTTACAATTCGTTTTCCCCAGTTTTTACTTTTTTGTATCCTCCTCTTCATTCATGCTGGGTTCTCGCGATAAACCTATCGGCGGATTGCTGGAATACTAAGCTGAATCTTTCAGGTGATTGATAACTTATCTGTTTTTTTTTTTTCCTGCTGAAATCCAGATATACTGTGAATGAATCTTTAGGAAGTTTCTTTCCGCTGATAGAGTCTTTGTTTCCATAGAAATTTGAGAAGCACTGCTTTTATTTGGATGTGTATATGTTCGGAGAATTTTGATCCTTGTTTGTTGATGTTTTAAGAACAATTTTTGATGCATTCAAACTGTTCGATAAAATGCCTAACCGAAATTTTGATGTATATAATATGCCTGTGTTAATCACGCTAAGCATGATTAATACTTTCTTGAGCATATGGGTAGATGCAATTAGGTGATTTATATTTTTGATTGAATCAAACTGATGACGTTTACGTATTCTCTGGGAATTGTCCTGTGCTCATCAATAGCCTTTTCTAGTTAGCCTTCATGCTAGACATTAAGATTCCATGTTACTGATAACGTTCTTGCTCGTAGTTAGAATGAACAAGATGCAATTCTAGCTTAAGCTAAGACAAGGTTCCTTATTGACTAAGCAATTCCGCTTTTTGAACCTTATGATCACTTAATCAAGAACATGTTTCACATTTTATAATTGGCTTAAGAAATTGTATTTTGGTATATTGCAGATTTCCTAGATTTTCAGTATACGCTATGGGAAATACTTCTGGTGACGACAAGATACTCAGCTATGAAGATGTTGTCCTCAGGAGATCAGATTTGGACATCCTAAACGGACCCAATTTTCTAAACGATCGTGTTATCGAGTTCTACCTAAGCTTCTTATCCACAGTTCACAGTTCCCCTACCATCTCACTAATCCCTCCCTCCATTGCTTTCTGGATCTCAAACTGCCCCGACACTGAATACCTCAAAGATTTCGTGAAACCCCTTAATTTGCGCGACAAAGACCTCCTGATATTCCCTGTAAACGACAATACAAATGTCGAGGTAGCAGAAGGCGGATTACATTGGAGCTTACTTGTGTACTACAAAGAGGCCAACACGTTTGTCCATCACGATAGCTTCATGGGAGTGAATAAATGGAGCGCAAAAGATCTCTTCAAGGCGGTTTCGCCGTTTGTATCTAATGGAGATGCATCATACAAGGAATGCACTGATACACCGCAGCAAAAGAACGGGTACGACTGCGGTGTTTTCCTTCTTGCTATCGCTCGGGTTATATGCGAATGGTTCAGCGCTGGAGGAATGAAGAATCGGGATGAGCTGTGGTTTACTAATGTGAAGGAGACTTTACCTGATTTGGTTAATCATCTGAGAGAAGAGATATTGGGGCTGATCAAGAGGTTGATGTCTGAGGGTGCGAGTAAATGAGAAATGGTTATTGAATGTGGTAGATATTCCGGTTGGATTATTTTAACTGTTGACCGGAAATAAAACATTTGATATTTTCACCGGTTATTGAAATCAGCGGTTCTGCTCTGTTTTATTTGAGCCCATTTGCCTGGTGAGTGTAGGCCCAATTTTGTTTGGTGTGATATAGTTAATATAGGCCCACGGTGCAATATGAAACATCACGCGAACCAGTGACGCGCGTCTACGTCATGAGTACTCATGATATCATTTTTTAAAAATGTCATGACAAAATACTTACTTTTTTAAAATCTACTGTAAAAGCGAAAAAAATATCTGTAAACTGCTGAAACTGTTTTTGTTTTCTACATCACAGTTGCGGATAAAATTTACCAAACAAAAATGGTATTATAGAACAAAGTTTTAAAAGTGATCAAAATCATTCTCTTAAATACTTTCCAGTAAACTCATACATAATCTCACATAAAAGTCTTAGCAAAAAAAACAAAACCTCACATAAACGTATTTACTTTTTAACCAAGATATATGATTATTTGTGACTTGTGAGTAGTAGATTTCATTTGAGATGATATTTTTTGTAAATATATATTATAATAAAGTACATTTAAACTGAACATTTATTAAGAATTGAAAACATATAGTATAAATTTACTTTTGAGGAACTAGCTAGTTATAGATGAAAAAAAAAACACTTTCTAAAAAAGAACTAGATCGATATGTTAGCGTTAGAGCACATAATGAAGGAATGAATAAAGAAAAACAAAAGATATATGGTGAAAACGAATCCATTTTCTGAAATCGAGAAACATTTTCACTAAAGTGGAAACAAAACAAAAGAAAGCTCCGAAGATTTAAAAAAAAATAAAAAAGAGAGAGAGTTGCTGCATGGGAATCTACGCTTTGATGCTTTGCTTGAAGATGGAGGCAAGAATATTATGCGGGTCCCTTTTGGAAATTGCGCCTCAAATCTCTAATCCGATCCTAAAATCTTCTTTTTATTCTATTTTATACACGTCTCTGGTTTGTGTTATCAACTAGGAGAGGGGACTACATGTTAAAATAAGCATGCAGGTTTTTTCAGCCAAAATAAAAAACTAAAATTATGCAAAAATAGTACTTATAATTCAAAGAGCAATAATGCTACATGAGATTAGAGGATCTCGTTTTTCTGAGAAAACGGTCTATTTCCCCCCCAAAAACTATCGCATCATAACAGATAGAGCCCAAAACTTTACTCCGGTTCTAATATTCCTGAAATGAAACTTTGAGGTCTAATTCACCCCGAATCGGAAGTTCACTTCTTATTTACCCCCGAATCAAATGTTCGAGAGTTACAACCACACGAGTCTGGGTTTAATCGGTTTACTGTAACCAAAACCCAATGCTAAACCAATTAAATGTTTTATTAACCAGATTAAACCCTAATATACCCAAATTCAACCCGATTTCACTAACTTAACCAAAACCCACCCCGATTTAACCCCAAAATCGAAAACACAAACCCTAAAATCAGAAATCAAAAGAAATCCCCAAATATTTCCGACGAACCCTAGAGAGAAAATTTGAGTGATCGAAGCTTCCAATCTCTGCAATCGAAGGATGTCTGTAGTTGTTGGTGACCCGGATATTGGTGATGTCGATCCTGAAGCTGAAGATAGAGACCAATTTCACATCGAAGAAATGTTGAATGAGTGGAGTGACGAACCTCTGATTCGCCATGATGTGTACCCAGAGAGCGATGCTGAAGAGAATGGCGATGGTCCTGAGAGATTTCATACTCATATAAGGAGAGGTGATGGTCATTTGTACCAGAAGCAAACTTTCTTCAGTGGAGATGCGTTCAAGGAGGCTGTCACTGATTATGCTCTGAGGACAGGATGCAATCTGAAGCAGTACAGGTATGACAATGATAAAATTGGCTTCAAATGTATTGGTAACGATGGTAAGGAGGAAGGAGTACGGTGTGAATGGCAAGTTTATGCCGCGATTCTTCGTAAAGATAACATGTGGAAGATTAGGAAGTTTGTAGATAATCATAGCTGCATCCCAAATGGGGAGTGTGAGATGTTTAAGATGCCACATATAGCTAGGTTATTCGTTGATAAGATTAGGGATAATCCGGAATTCTACATGCCAGCTAAGATTGAAGAACTGATAAAGGAACAATGGAAGATATCTGTCACTAGGAATCAATGTCAGGCTGCGAGAAAGAAGGCAAGGCAATGGATTGAGAAGGAGTATGATGAGCAGTTTGCAAGATTAAGAGACTATGCTGCTGAGATTTTTGATTCAAATCCGGATTCACATGTAGAAGTGGATTGTCTGACCAATGAGGAAGGTGAAGACATGTTCAATAGGTTTTATGTCTGTTTTGATAGCCTAAGAAAGACTTGGAAGGAGAGCTGCAGGCCTCTTATTGGCATTGATGGATGTTTTCTGAAGAATAAGGTAAAGGGTCAGTTGTTGGTAGCATTAGGCAGGGATGCTAATATATAACAAGATCTATCCTGTAGCTTGGGGAGTGGTTAAAGTGGAGAATACAGAGAATTGGGTTTGGTTTGTGAAGAATTTGAAGAAAGACTTAGGATTAGGTGATGGTGAAGGCTTCATCATGCTCTCAGATAGGCAAAAGGTATCTTCAGTTTCTTTTATTTTCTTTTGTTTCCTTTTGTTTCCTTTTGTTTCTTTTTGTTTCCTTTTGTTTCAAATTCTGTGGTATTGATATATTGGTTTGTTCTTGATTTCAGGGTTTGATCAAAGGTGTTCAACTTGAGTTGCCAAACATAGAGCATCGGATGTGTGTTCAACATATATACGGGAACTTGAAGAAGAATCATGGAAGTAAAACCCGCATGAAGCCACTGTTATGGGATTTGGCATGGGCATATAATGAGAAAGATTATAAGCATAATCTAGAGAGGATCTTCTGCTATGACACAGTCGTCTTCAATGACATCATGAAGACAAATCCAATGAGTTGGTGCAGGGCATTCCAGAAGAGAGGCAACTACTGTGAGGATGTGGACAATAACTTTACTGAGTCTTTCAATGGCTCTTTGAACAAGGCAAGAGAAAAGCCATTTTTGGCTATGTTAGAGACTGTAAGAAGACTTGCTATGGTGAGGATTGCAAAGAGGCCAGTTGAATCTCATACTCACACAGGTAAAGCTTCTGATTTTTTTGTATACTTGCTATGAATTTGGGTCTGTTTTGAGATATCTAAAGCTTTTTAATCTCTTTTTTTGCAGGGAGCTGCACTCCTTATGTTGCATTATTTCTGGCTAAGGAACACAAGGTTGCTTATGTGGCAAAGGTGTCTACAAGCACCAATGGGATGTATGAAGTCAGGCATGGTGGTGATTATCATCATGTGTGCTTGAAGAGCTACACATGTACATGCCAGAAGTGGCAGATATGTGGCATCCCGTGTGAGCATGCTTATGGAGTAATTCTGAACAAGAAGCTTGCACCAGAGGACTACGTGTGTCATTGGTTCAGGACCTCTACTTGGAAAAAAAACTACACTGATGGTGTGTGAGAGGTCCTAAGTTTTGGCCTGAGACTAATGCTCCTCCTGTGCATATACCACAACCACCAGAAGGAGAGAAGGATAAGGAGATGACAAAGAAGGATAAGAAGAGGAAGAAGGGTTTCAATGAGTCTCCTACTAAGAAGGCACCAAAGACCAAGAAAAGGATCATGCATTGTCGTGTCTGTGGGACAGCTGATCACAATGCTAGGCATCACAAGAAAGATAAGGTTTGTTTTGTGTCATTAGTTCTTTTTCTGCTATTTGTTTTGTTTTGTGTCCAATTTGACAACATGTGATCTTGTTTGGCAGGGTTCTCAAGATGTTTTCCACTCTTCTCAAGCTGAACCAAGTCAAGGTTCACTCACTCAAGCTTGAGTAATAGCTAAGTAGATGTAGGGCACAAATGTGGTTGTCTCATTCTTATTTTCGATCACATATGACTTGTGTATCCCTCTGTTTTCTAAACCTTTTGAATGTTTGTTTCTTCGGATGGATGGATGTAGAATGAATGATTTAAAGAATGTTGGTTTCTCTTAACTTGCATTTGATTGTTTTGTTTTCTGTTATGACCAATTCGTAAAAACACAGAATGACCAAAGCCATTCTCTTTATCCAAACCAACCCATTCTCTTAATACAAGACAACAACCATTGTCTTGATACAAAACAAATAACATTCTCTTAGTCATAAATCCAAACTACAAACTCCATTAGCTTAATCATAAATCCAAACTACAAACTCCATTAGCTTAATCACAACATTCAAAATACAACAACTACAATGATGTGATCAATGGTTCATGGGATCCCATGGTTCATCCGACTAATTTGTTGAATCCAATCATGATTATACATCCTATCACTAAGACAATCATCATCTTCTTAGTGCTTCCTTTGGCTTCAGATAAAGCATCTTCCACTTTCTCAAATATCTCCTTCTCTATCTTCATTTGGACCTTCTCGCAAACGATCTTCTCAATCTCCAAACTCTCTGTCTTAACCTTTTTAAGCTCCTGCTCAAGTTCACCATTCTTTTCTTTCAATGTATCTATCTCATTGAGCAAAGCTTCATCAACCCATTTGAACGTGTGTTCATCATTCTTTAGCTACAAATTAAAAGTCATTGGTCCATTAGCATAATCTTCAACAAGATACAATACAAAACAGTTGAAATACAAGCATGAAATTACCCTATGTTTAGCAGCAAAACCACAACGATAGTATCTCCGGCAAGGATTCGAATCGGATTTTGAAATTAGAGCCACAATCTCTTCTCCGCACCAACATCTCTTTGGCACCCCGACAATTCTGCCTCTTCCACGAGGACCTGTAGATCCCGACGAACTCACGGACACATTGCTCATCTTGCAGCAACTCGATTTCTGGGTTACAAAATTTTAGAATTTAGGGTTCTTGAATTTTGCGGATTTCAAGTTTGGGGTTTAAAAGCATTAGTGGGTCGGGTTAAAATATGGAATCGGATTTTGTTTGGTTAAGTTACGACCAAAATCTGGTTTGATCTCGGGTCAACGCACCGAACCGACGAAACCCAGACATGGAGACATTTAGATAGTGAACTTCCGATTCGGGGTGAATTAGACCTCAAAGTTTCATTTCAGGGATATTAGAACCGGAGTACAGTTTTGGGCTCTATCTGTTATGATGCGATAGTTCTTGGGGGGAAATAGACCGTTTTCCCCATTTTTCTTTAACTTGTATGTATACAGAACAGAGTTTCTTTTTGTAGTCAAATATAGTAAATATTAAACTCAATAACAATAAACAGTTCATAGTAAGCATAACTGAATACTTTTCATAACATTGTATTTAGTGAAAAATGATTATAAAAAACTAGCTTATTAAATACTCCCTCTGTTCCTAAAAGATTGATTTTCTAGAGATTTCACATATTTTAATAAACAATCATTATTTAATTATTTATTTTTATTTATCTTTTCTTAATAAACTATTAACCAATGGTAATCTGAAATAGTTAATCACTACCTCTTGAAATCTACGATTTATTAATATCAATTAATTAAAAATAATGAAAGCATAACTGAATACTTTTCATAACATTGTATTTAGTGAAAAATGATTATAAAAAACTAGTTTATTAAATAGTATTTTAGACAGTAGTTTCTCTTCCTATTTGAGTATAAAACTATACAAGCAAACTAGAGTAACATAAAATTTGGTTGTATAATTTTATTTTATCAAAGATGATTTGGAAATAGATAGATTTGGCTATGATTTTAGTAAAGAAAAAAAAAGGTGAAAGTTTTCAAATTGAAACACTACTGACTGTGAGTGAGACAGCACATGCCAAGCAAAACCTAATCAGGAGGCTGCGACCACTTATCATTCTACCCTCTTTCCTCGATTTCCTCCAAAATTATTCCTTTCTCATTCCGCCACGTGTCATCCCATTAGCCGACATCTGGGTCCCACTTTACCGCCGGCCAATCACTCTGTCGTTGATTCCGGTTTTTCTTATTTCTTGCTATATTCTACTACTACCGTTTATTTCAGAAATTAGGGTTTCTCATTTGCTTCACTTGTCATATGTAGGTACTATTGGTAGTTCATCAAGGATACTATCCAAATTACATTTTAAGTATTTTCTTTTAGAAAAAAATTGTACTCCAATCACGTATATATATGACCTAAGTTGTGACGTTACCTGTTAATTAAAGTACTTTAAAATTCCACAAAAATGATTCAGTTTGAGTTTCATATATATACAATTTCTTCTTACAAATTTCGTGGCCATCTCTTGTTTCCTAGCATTGGTGCAAAATAGAAGACAAACAATCATTGTTCCAATTATATCAAGTTTGGTATTTCTCAAAGTTGTTCGTATCAGGAATTTTAACGTTAGTTTAGTCATTATTATTCTCGTTAATCTTAAAATTTGTAGTGTACTAAATTTTTTTTTTTTTTAATTTGAACCATAATTATGAGATGGACCAACTTGATGCAGTCATTGATTTAATCAAAAGTAGTAATAAAGTTTTTCGACTTCATCAATTGCTTAGACCATGAAACCAAACACCAACGGTACAATTAATCATCTAAGAGAAATCAGAATTAAATATATCACATTTTAATGAAATTATAAGTATTCACTTCGGAAAAAAAAAAGTATTCACTTCGGATGTATCAAAAGTTGTAGATTAGACATCCGAATTAGCATTAGGTCGGATAGGAATTTTTAAAAAGTGTTCTTTTTGGGGTGTTACGACTTACGATAAACAAAAATTATACTAACGATCACTCTATAAACTATAATAAAAAATTACTGATACCATCGTGTCGAGATAGATTGCAATATGATTCATATATATGACAGAAGAGCTCTCTTATCAATACGATCTGCTTTAACTTCTTTTTATTGCCCATGAAATTCTAGTTTTGTCACTTGTTGTCTTAAGACACACTATAAAGCAACTGAAAATATTACAACTTTGACTGGTCAACCCAAAACTCAATGTCTTTTTCTTCCAATCCTATTTTCCAGTGGTCCCACCACTCCAGTTATTATATAGACATTATAAAAAATTCCTGAATTGATGATTTTGAATGGAAGATTCATGTTATGTCACTCTCATTCCTGTTTCTTCATCTCCACATCTTTCGAAAATTGGTCTATGTTAAGATTTATAAATCAGTTTGATTTTCCTGTGTAGATTTGTCTTTTAAACCTGCCAATTCTTGTGAATTACGTTCTTGGCTGTTTAAAAGTTTGGTGATCATCAAAATTTTGGCCTAACGTCGTTTCGTTTTGGTATGAACTGAATTGAATAAGATAAACCAAGTGATGGGACGATTTATGGTTAGGTTTCTCTAGTTCGCTGTTAGTAAACTGAATGATTAAAAGGTGTCTGAACTGTTAGTGCTATAATAAATATTTTTAAATAAACAGAAATTAATTACATTAAACGAGCTTAAAATTTAAAGATGGTCAACATTATTTTGATAAAATTTGGGAGCGACAAGTAGGTAGGGTCCAAAGAGAAATATACATATAATGATCATCAATTATATTTGGAGACCAATGATTGTTTGTGAATGGATCACTAAATTGTTGTAAAAAAGAGAAAGAACGAATGAATGAATCACTATTTTCCTGGTGGGAATAGGTAATAATAAAATGATTTTTTTCCAATCCTATCAAACATGAAATGAAAGATAAAGTGTAGTAAGTGAGATTTATGGATGATTGATTCGTCTCTAGCTACTTCCATTGACACATTTACGTTTTCGTAGTAAAGAAAGAAACATGTTTTCCACTAAGTAGTACCAAAAACAAAACAAAATTCACTAGAGTAACAAGTAACGATCCTATTATGATAATAACATGGGTTACTCATTTTCTCTCTCCACGAGACAAGGTTTATCTTTTTTTTTTTTTTTTTTGTCAAACCGACACAAGGTTTATCTTAAAATCGTATACTATAGTATATAACATGGGTATCTAGCAAAAAATATAATATATTGTAGGTATGATGTTTTGTGTGGATATATAAGGTCCTTAGACCAAATCTCGGTCTTCATAGAAGTCTCTTTCCCGAAAACCGATGTGGTAGTGTGATTTGTGTCTCTCTGAACTTTAGATCCCCATCGGATAATGCAGCACATCATGAGCTACACATTGTCCGGCATATTCTTTATTTTACTTCATCATCATGTCTTCTATATATTAACAGATATAGTTATGATTTTATATATACATATATATATATATATATGATTAATTTTTGCACCAAAAATAGCTATGATTATATTTAAAACAATGTAACTAAAAAAATGTATTATATCCACATTTTTTTAAATTTAGATTTCAGATTATAATTATATTTCTATTTAACAAATCATTGACAGTTATGCTCAACAAATTATATAAAGTAAAATAGAGCATAAATTTAGAAGGAACAAAAAATTGTAGCCCAATATGTCTTGACAAAAATAGAAACATTTGTGGTCCTATCAAATAAAGAGTGTTGGTCCAAGATGACATTATATTTTTCTTTTTGACAGCAATGACAATATTTTCTTAATTTTGAAATATATGTGTTTTTTATATTGGGAAAAAGAAAACAGTTAAGGCAATGGGAGCGTGGAGGACAAATTTAAAATCTCTTTAGTAAATTTTCAATAAAAAGAAACAAGGCTTAAGACATTATCTCAACAGAGAATTATGCGTTTTACAATTCACAAATCCTATTAAATCACAGGCTAAGGACATCCGCAGTAGTGTATCCTTGCGTGGAGTATATCTATTTTAAAATACAAAAATAATGTAAAAGTTATCTCTCTCTTCACACCCGGGTGTAAGTTTACACTCGGGTGTAAGCCACTCTATCTCTCTCTTTCTTTCTCTTTCTTTTCTCTCTCACTTTAAATTATAATAATAAAAAAATTTTACACCTCTCCCTCACACTTACACCACTGCGGATGGTCTAAAAAACCAACTACACAAATTTTAGTAGTTATACACTTGCTTTTGATTTAAACATCGAATTAGAATGTACTCATATATATATACGACTAATGGAAATAGAAAATCACATATTTTTGTCCAATCCTCTAGTACGAAGGAAGGCAGGGTCCATAAGGAAGAACAAGACATTGCGATGAGTATGGGACCCTCGTGGTGACAAGTCGACGGACTTGGGACATAAACACAGAAATGACAAAGAAGTTGAGTGCGTGGGAATCCGACGTCGAACATCATCTCTCACCCATCATCGTACGGTTACTATTCATCTTAATCAAATATATCCGATTTCACATTATTGATAACGATTGCAACTCATCATTTTATATATATTTGACCGCTTAAAGAAATTGACGGATACATTATTGTGGAGTGATCTAGCAAGCTTAATTAGTGATTATATTCGGACTATCGTCGTTGTAGACTTTAAGCTACAAAAGTTCCATAGTTCTCAAGTTTTGATGTGGTTATAGTATTATAGCTTTACTCATAACACTACAATTGATTAGTAAGAGTTGTTGTTTTTATGAGATTATAAAGTCAATGTTAAAGCACCTCCATCAAAGTCTCAACATGGGTAATTGGGTATCTAACAAAAATAATAATATTTTAATAAGTGAGTACCTCAAATAGTTGAGAAATTTTTAAGTGAGTTTCTCAATTATTTGAGATACTCACTTATTAAAATATTAGTATTATTATTTATTTATTTATTTTTCTAGTTTGAGATATCCTAGTTGACAACTTTTTAATGGAGATGCTCTTAGTCTTAGATGATTAACAAAATTTTGTAATAGGAAATAGATTTCATACTTATTCATTTTCAAATTTTAGATATCAAAATGATCCAAAACATTATTTTTTGCCACCAATAAAATTAATAACCTTCTTTCAAGTAGTATTTTTAACAAGTCTTAAAACATTATATGAAGGGATAAAAACATTATTAGGTTATACTAATTTCCACAGGCTACCAAATGTAAAATTTTGTTCACATTATAAAATTTTAATAAACGGCGGCTTTATGTCTGTTCCAAATCACGTTCCGAATTGGTTCACATTATTCTTCAGACCATTGTGTAAAATATTAAACTAATAATATGAGAACGAGGCCACAACAACAATTGTGTATCTCTCTCCTCCCACATTCCCATGTATATATACATATGCTTGGCTTGTCCTTTTGCTTCACTTTTAATTTCTACTCATATCCATCATTCTCTCTGATTTCAAGAAACAATCTGAATTTCTTACAATTTAAGACTCACACTCATATAATAATCTTCAAGCAGCTTCTCAGATTCAGCTCCTATGGATCATTTGTTACAGCAACAGGTATACTACAATTTAAGATCCACAATTTCTAAAATCTTGATAGGTTTTGTTTGTTTAAATTAGAATCTTCATGTGTTGTTTTTTTCTTTTAAAGGATGTTTTTGGGAATTATAACAAAGCAAGAGAAGCCATGGGACTATCATATCCATCAAACCCAACACAGTTAGATAACGATCAGAAGAAACCTTCTCCGGCGACTGCAGCGGCGGCGACAAGGCCACAGCCACCGGAGCTAGCTCTGAGATGTCCACGTTGCGACTCAACAAACACAAAGTTTTGTTACTACAACAACTACAGTCTCACTCAGCCTCGCTACTTCTGCAAATCATGCCGGAGATATTGGACTAAAGGTGGAACCCTAAGGAATATCCCCGTCGGTGGAGGCTGCCGGAAAAACAAACGGTCCACATCTTCAGTGACAAGAAGCCTCAGAACCACTCCAGAACCGGCGTCCCACGACGGGAAAGCCTTCTCGGTGGCGAGTTTTAATGGGTATAATAACAATGAACATATTGATCTGAGCTTAGCCTTTGCCTTGCTGAACAAACAACATCCGGGGAGTTCTTCACAGCTAGGGTTACATTCGGAATTCGGTAACTCTCATCAGTCTGATATGGAGGGTGTGTTTGGAACAAGCCAACAGAAAGAGAACGCTACTTATGCGTTTGGAAACGGGAGCAGCGGTTTGGGTGATCCAAGCAGGGTCTTGTGGGGATTCCCATGGCAGATGAACGGAGAGAGCTTTGGGATGATGAACATAGGAGGGGGTGGTGGTCATGTAGATCAGATTGATCCAGGGAGAGAGATTTGGACCAATATGAACTATATTAATTCTGGTGCTTTAATGTAGTTCAAATTAATTAAAACCCCAATATTATTTGGGTTTTGATTTAGGGTTTGAATTTCATGTTTTTTATTGGGAGAAAAAAGGGGTAGCTATTTTATGAAATGGTTAAGTATAGATATATTAGGGCTTCTTCAAATTAAAGAGTTTCAAACTTGCAAAATGGGGTTGGGGTAGTTTTTGTTTTGGTTTCCGATTGACTTTCTTTATTTGTATGTTCACTATGTTTTTAATGAAACATTTCCTTTCTTGTTCTAAATTCGAAAATTCATATTTTCCTTGAATTTTGGGAAATTCATATGGTTTCGAATGACAACAAAAATAAATTTTTGTAAATGAAAGGAATATTTTTTTTTTGAATTTAAATGAAAGGAATATTTACCATAATGGAACCCTAATTTCAACTATTGAAACCTAATCATTAATTCTCCTATAAAAATCTGACATCTAGAGGCTCTTAATGGCTCGGTCAATAGGGTTGATGTTTCTACTTAATTGATTTAGTGACGTAAAGGATCAATCTTGGTAATGTTATATAATGTCAAATATTGGTATAATGTGGACTAATCAGTGATATAATTAGTATACTCTGATCAATATTATAAACGAGACGATTTTATGATAAAAAAAAATCGAAAATGTAGCTTTAAAATGTTTTAGAATTTATAGATTGAATTTATTGGGTGAGAATGTAAGACCAGAAATGATGATGACTAAGCAAACATCTCACCTAACCTAATTATGCTTACATAGGCCAATTATACACACTTGAGAGAATGTTTTAAATATAAATATCTTTGTTGGTTGGTAGTTTCTTTACACACATATTCACGTGTCTTTTTTTTTAAATACCCGATCGGCTGATCCGGTCAGCCTCGGTAGGAACGCACCGGAGCGCTACAGAGTGAACTCACTACCACCCCGAGGGATGGGCTACCTCACTGCCTGATTCGAGTTTGGAATGCTTTCCGACTAATGCCCGGGGTAGCTGGATCGCCTGTTACCAGACTACCAGATAAACTGTCTGAGCCGAAGCCCAAGCCCAGACTTCCCAACAAAGTGTTGATAACAGCGAGGAAGGAAGATCGAACCCGGATTCGGGGATTTCACCCTCAACTCCGGACTCGCCCTACCACCTTGCGGGCCAGATTCACGTGTTTATGAATATATACATCTAAATTATCGAAGCTTATTATTATCCAACAAAAACGCGTCTTGTTATGTAATGGAACAAGTAACAAGTAACAAAGAACATCATCTTTAGGAAAAAAGATCACAAAAACTAGACATTATTTCAAGATTCGGACACTTTATTTCGTCTAGAGAGTCCAATATTCTATAGGACCCATTGGGCCAAGGCCCAGTGATAATTCTAATCCTTCTAAATTCACCAGAGGCTTTTGTGCCTTTGAATGATGTTAAGTTGTTAACAAAGCACTAACTGGTTCCATAATGCAAGACTTAGTAGTCTCCCTCCTGAATACTTAACATTAAAGTAAAAATTACCACAGCTAAAAATCTTTAGAACATGTATTTTCCAGAACATTGTTCTCAAACTACTAATTCACATTACTCAAGTCACTTGAGTTGCTCTTATAATCCAACTCCAAATCGACGATACCTGAGAAGCAGAAACCGGGATGGGAAAAGCAAAAGTCAGTTTCTTAACAGAATTCAGAGACACTGATTAAAAATATATCAACTTTAGAAGAGATTACCTAATCATTATATTAGTTATTCTCCAACTATTTCTGAGGCTTCTTCCACAAAACTCCAATCTTCTTGAGCACATTCCCATTTTTCTTCTTTGTCAGCTCATCATCGATATCCTCAGAGTAAGGAGAGTTCGTTTGGTTATAGTTCTCTGCGAATTTCCCGTTGTTTCCAGCAGAGAGCATGGCAGTAGCTGCTTCAGCAGCTTTCCTCCATTGGTTTGATTGAACTTTGAGCTTCCTGAGTTCTGTTTCCATTTCTGAGTTTGAAGCTTGAGTAGCCTCTAGTTGCTCGGTGACTCTAACCGCTTTCTTGCTACTCTTGCCAGCCTCTTCCATTGCAATCCCAAGCTTCATGAACGCGTCTTGTACATCTGTCTCCCTCTTGTGGATATCTGACTTCAATGTCTCGTTCTCATCTGAAACGATCTGGAGTTCTGTCTCTTTATCCATCAAATCCGCCTTTAAATTCTCGATCGCCTCCCTTAGTTTCTTCAGCTCAGCTTCAACATCTATTTCTTTCTGGTTCTTCATCAGTTTCAGGCATAAGTTATCTCTCTCCTCTGAAATAAACTGTAATTCTGTTTCCTTGTCCATCAACCTCGCCTTTAGCTCGTCTATCTCGGATTTAGCAATCTTTAATTCAGACTGGAGTTCAGCTTGTATCCGTAACCGAGAAGAAGCCTCTATGTTACCCTCTTGGTCTTTTTTATCAGAAGCTTCTAGAGCCGCTCTCAGTCGCTCTACCTCACATCTTAAGGAAGATACTTCTTCATCCATCTCATTTGATTCCCCACGTTTCAAACTTTCATAGTCTTTAAGCAGGATTTCATGGTTTTCCAAATCTGCTGGATTGGTCTGAAGTTTATTCACAAGAGCTTCAAGCCATACCATCCTTGATTTTGACTGTTCAAGCTCCACAGCCATCTTCTTGTAACTCTCAACTGCTTTTGTGCCATCTGACTTCAGTTCTTCTACTGCCTTTTTCGCATTCTCCAATTGCCTAAGAGTTTCAGTGGCTAAAGCCTCGGTTTCAGCTTCTGATACCTCACAGTCCTTGAGTTGGTTCCTGAAATTCTCGACGTGGAAAAGCGTGTCCATTAAGTTTCCTCTCAAAAGTTGAACCTCCGAGTTATGCAACTCAGCCTGTTTCACATGACCAGCTTCGGAAGAAGCCACCATCTCAATCTGAAGCTTGAGTTGTCGAATCTCATGAGCAACAGCAGCCAATCCCGCTCTTTCACCAGCAGTAAAATCACACTCCTGAGATACACCTTGATGAACAAGAGAACCGGTTTTATCGGTTTCTTCTCCCAAGGCTGAAATTTCCAAAAACTGATTCTGGTTTTCCTCAAGCTTAGAGGAAACTTCTTGCAGCTGTTTCCTGGACTCCCCTGCCTCTTGCTCTGCTTGCTTCTTTGACGTTTCAGACACTGAGATTTGATCTTTTGCCCTTTTCAGCTCCTCCTGAAGCTGCGAGACTAGCAACTCCAGCTCCGTTATTCTACTCGGTCTCTTCTTCTGTTAGCCATGAAACATATCAGTGTTACAGCAATCTCAAGAAGAAGAAGAAGAAAACAGACAATTGAGAGTGAAATTTAGTTACAACTCATGTCGCAACTACCCCAAATTAAATGTCCCACCTAATTATATACCCCATTTGCGCCGATATTAAATGTATCCTAATGTTTTCCTCTTCAAAATCAATAGAGTAACATGTTATGATGGAAAGACTTATCTTGGATCATGCAAATAAAAGGAATTTATGAAATCTAGATACCCCAACAATGAATGAAACAATAAAAATGAATTCTTTCAAGACCCTTAGATTGAATCTGAAACCAGCTTAGTACAAGAGGCTCATACCTCAGAGACAGGGCTTCGAGGAGACCTACGATCTAGAACTTTTGAGCTTTTATCCTTTGGTGTTCTGATAGTGGCTGAGACAGGAGATGACGAGGATTCAGGCTCTAGCGCTGCGATCTTCAGTGGCCGAGCAGCTCGAGGAGACACCTTCTTAGGAACATCTGGACATCCATTTCTGACACAAAACACAAAAATATGAAAAATTGTAAACCAAGAAGATATCACATTCCAAAGTTGCAAGCAAATGAGTCAGAGAGATCATTGAGGGTCACTACTTGTTGCTACATAGATTTGGTCTTCTTGTTCGATAAAAGATTAGAGAAAATTTGTGGTATGATTTGATTAAATAGGAAAAATCAGGACCACAAGAATGTAACCTTCAAGATTCAGCGTTGAAAAAGTGCAAAACTCCCACAAGACAATCACAAAAGAGGGGAAAAATCAGCTATAAATGCAAAGAACTATACAAAGACAAAATAAACCCCAATATTTACCTTGCCTTTTGGGTCTGCATACTGTAATATTACTTCTCCAATACACAGAATGAATCAAAACCTTGTTTATACAATAGATATTTTTAGCCTCCTCTTTGCTTCTTCAATGTAGCCTGACCCACCAAAAATTGTAGAGAGGTCATGAATATTTAATGCAAAAAGATGGAGACATATCTAAGAATCCAATGGAAGAGAGAAAACATGATATGAGTTATTACAGAGAGAGGATAAGCGTAAAAAAAATATTTCTTTACGTCTATAATCAAATCCATTGCCAGAAAATGAACATCCCAAAGAAGAAACAAAATCTTTTATTGCTCTTCTTACTAAGTGTCTTATGTCAGACATTGAGATTCGTTGGATTGTGCATTAATACCATAAAATCACATTAAGATTGAGTTCAACCCCTCGTGTTTATGATTCATGATCAAACATCTTATTTCACCACAAAAGTATATATGGTTTTTTTTTTCGCTTAAGACCATTCTACTCAACCGAATTGGCTCACTCACATAGCTCTAGAACACCACACAAAAACATATTTTACTCAATGGATACAACACTTGATTCAATGTTCTAAAATGGACAGATACAATCAACACAGTCAGAGTCACATCTCAGGTGAACCAGAAGCATACTGCCAAAAGATGATTTCAAAGACTGTATAGCTAAGTTATATTTTGGATTTATCCAAATACACCCAAAAGAAGAGTTATATTTTGGATTTATCCAAATACACCCAAAAGAAGAAAGAAAAAAAACAAGTCATATCTTGACATTGTAACCATTGCAGCTAACTACACAAGTTGTTTGACTATAAAGTAACATAAAACGAATCTTCATTTGTTGCCTCTTGACAATGTAATGTTCACAACCTATCATCATGAAGGATGGTACCAAGGGTCCTACATAACTACACAAGCAGCAAAATGTGGTAGATTTACTTTAGTAACCCCACCAGATTCACCCTCCTAAATGGGACACAAGAGGGTTAAACTGTCATATTCTAGACCAAGTTTCATCTTCTCCTCCATTATTGCCGTGGAAGGAGGGGACTTAGACGTTTATAGAACTACTATGATGAATCATAATGAGTTTAGACATTTTTCATATAAGAAAAATCAACAGATAAATATCCACCCAAAGGCAATCAGAAATGTAATTGGTTTTATGGATAAAGTTTTCCAGGAAAAAGGAGTATCTAATTAGTAAAACCACTTGAGTGCAATGATCATGTTAATTAAAGCAAGCATGAGAAAACAATCCACAGTGCAGCAGAGAAAAAAAGCTTCAACATTTAACCTTAAAAATTACTAAAAACAAAGAAAAGAAGAGCTCCTTTTTTTTAATCAAACCAGATGTGAAGATCTATCCCAATATTCTACTTGTAAAGTAAACTAAAAGCTGAAATAATAATTACACAAACAATAGAAGAACAAAAAGAAGACATTTTTATATTTCAAGCCAAGTTCCCAGTTATTCAACTTTACAAGGAGTAAAAAGTTGGTAATTTTACGATTTTAAGCTAAATGAGAAGGAAACAAGAAAGACCAGAGCTTTCTGGAACTTAAAAGGCGAAGAAGAAGCAGAATATGAAAAAGAGGCAACGAAAAGGGTGGAAAAATCACAACTTTATCTCAAAAAAGAACTACATTTTCCAGGAAAAGCTATTGCAACTTGTCAGGAAACAGTGTAACTAAAGTATTCAGGAAAATTTAATCATCAGAATCAAATTCAGAGGGATAAAAGAAGCTCCTTACGCTGAGAGGAGGGTTCGTGCTTGAAGAAAAGATTCAATTTTTGTAAAAGAAAATGTAGGTAGAGAGGTTTGAGAACCAAAACCTAAGTTTACAGATTCCAAGAGGAAACAGTGTGTGAGAAAGAGAGAGAAGAGTGGGTAATGTGTGTTGTGGCTTTGGGCAGTGAGTCTGAGCAAGAAAGAGAGAGAGAGAGAAGGGAACAAAAGGTTATTCCAAAACGCAGCACGACAAAGCGTACTCCTTTGTCGTTTTGATGATAGTTTTGATTTTTGAAATTTAATTTCCGGTTTTAGACCATTTCCCATGTCCAAACCAAACCCGGGAATCTTTATAGACTACTTTTTTCTTAATTAGGTTTAGTTGATAATTTAATTAACTCGTTTCTCATTCACATATTTGTCAACAATAATTGGTTATTGACTTGCCTCTCCGGTCGTGTAGCTAAAATGTATGACTCCATTGTTATTTGTTTTCTCTGTAACTTTTATGGAGTGTGAATTCAAATAAAATCCAAACAAAGAAAAATCTGATCTTAACTTATTCAGACACGAAGTATAAGATATTCTTCATGTTCCTTTTGTTTCTGTCAAGTGTCAACATCTACTTTTATTTGCCAAAATCTACTTTTCTTCTTACATCAATAGTCTTGCATAAATGGGCCTTCACATTAAAATACAATGGGCCCTAAGTTAGCTTATTTATTTTATTAACCAAGCCCACTCACTAACCATTTAAAAAAGCACCAATATATCATCAATTAGTAAGAGTTTAGCAAAAGTGCAAAACTAATAAATTTTCATTAGGCGTGCAAAAATGTGCAATGCCCGTGAATTTTGAAGGGTGTAGGACTGAGGAGACTTTGATAGTATGGTCGGTCGGGAAAAACTTTTTTAAAGCTTCTCAAAGCATCCACTTTTAACGTTAAGTGTATTTTGGGACGCTATGGGTCCTGGTAAACATAAAGTTATGTTTTCTTTTAACGGTTATATTGTTGATTTATTGTAGAAAATCATGTCTGCCTAAAAGGTATTAACAAATGTTATTCGAAAACACCATTGTGTTAAAAGTATTTAATCACCATTGTAATCTTTCTTAATTCTTGATTTGAAAAAAAAGAAATTCAAAGAATATAAGTAGTTGAAAAACACTTGTATCCACATAGGATAACTAATCTTTTTCTAAATGAAATAACTTCTAGATTACCTTCACTTTATATTAAACACTCCACACTCTACACTAATCACATGTATAAACATTACTGCAGTTTAGAACCATAAGTCAAATTATATAACCAAAGAACAAAAAAATTTAGATAACCGTCACTTAACACGTGTCATAATCAGACAGCATGTGCATGTCCATTGATGTCATTCACATTTATCACCGCTATTTTCATCAAGAACAACAAACAGAATCACACAAGAAACAGAGCAACAATACATATTCAACAAGAACAAAAACGCCGTCATGAGATCGAGCAATAACCTTATAGGTCTCGTAAACTTCTTCACTTTCCTCCTTTCGATTCCGATCCTCGGCGGTGGAATATGGCTGAGCAGCAGAGCTAACTCAACCGACTGCCTCAGATTCCTCCAGTGGCCACTCATTATCATCGGAATCTCAATCATGGTCGTATCTTTAGCCGGAATCGCTGGAGCTTGTTACCAGAACAAGTTCCTCATGTGGCTTTACCTTTTTGCCATGTTCTTTGTAATCGCTGCTCTTATAGGATTCATCATCTTCGCTTACGCTGTTACTGATAAAGGCTCAGGCCGGTTTGTGATGAACCGTCGGTATCTTGATTATTATCTCCATGATTATTCCGGTTGGTTGAAGGATCGTGTCACGGATAATGGATATTGGAATGAAATTGGATCGTGTGTTAGAGATTCTGGAGTTTGTAAGAAGATACGAAGAGATTTAAATGGTGTTCCTGAAACTCCTCAGATGTTTTACTTCAGAAAGCTTTCTCCTGTTGAGGTTATTTTTTTTGAAAATTTCAAACTTTTTTTTTGTTTAAAATACTCAAGAAATTATTATGTCACTTGTTCTTGGAATCTAACACGGTGTGAACGTTCTATGATATTGTATTTGTTTTAAATCTGTAGTCCGGATGTTGCAAGCCGCCAACAGATTGTGGGTATACGTACGTGAATGAGACTGTGTGGATTCCGGGAGGAGAAATGGTGGGACCGAACCCGGACTGTATGTTGTGGAACAATGACCAGAGACTACTCTGTTACCAATGTAGCTCTTGTAAAGCTGGTGTTCTTGGTAGCTTGAAAAAGAGTTGGAGAAAAGTATCGGTGATCAACATTGTGGTCTTGATCATACTTGTTATCTTCTATGTCATCGCCTATGCAGCTTACCGGAATATTAAGAGGATTGATAATGACGAACCCGTCGGTGAGGCAAGGATGACCAAATCTCATCCTAGTCATTTTCAGATTTAAGGAGATTTTGGTATAGTTTTCCTTCGGAGTTGTGTTTTTTATTACTCTATGATGGTTAATGGTGTTTGTTGTTGTAATGATGAATTTGACTTGTTTTTTTTGGTTTTCTTGTTGTCTTCTTTGGATATGTTACATATGTATGATGATGATCACTCTTGTAGATTTTTGTGTAGCAATTAGTATAACAAAACTGGTGACTGCTCGTGGAATTTGAAAAAATGCTACGCATCTTAAATATAGTAGAAAATAATGTAACATTGATATGCAAAATTCAAACCAGTACTGACTTAACCGGGAATGGTTAGTCAAAGAGTTTTCAATTACTCACATTGGTAACATTTTGTTTTGAATTTGTGGATTATCTTCACGACTGAGTTCTGGGCTCCATCTACTTATCGTCTGTTCTTCCACTGTGAAGTTCTCCAAACATACAGGTAGATTCAAATCCTCTCCTTTGAACTTACCATTGACATAGAGAGTCAACAACGTTTTCGCAACACTTCCACTTAACCGAACAGCACAATGGATATCTGACCACACTCTTAACCGATCACTGTCACCAGACTGAACCAAAACTGAGTATTCAGAGTGGACAAGAGATGGATGGTGACGGTATGCCACGAAATCCACACCGTATTGCAACCCGGATCTCAACACCCAATTCTTCGATCGTAAATGTGAATAAGCTTTGAAAAACATTGGGAAGTTTGGTCTTTTCGATTTCATGTAGAGCCATGTATCTACTTCATTCTCCAAGCAACGACCTTGAAGAGATATTTTGATGCATTTGAGATTGTAGAGCAAATAGAAAGCTTCTTCAAAAGATAACTGAATCCATTTCTTGACTTTCTCAGCGGATAAAACGAGTCTGCCAAAACAACAACGGTCAAGAAGCTCAGCTTGTTCTGGCTCAACCGCTAGAAGCACATTGGAACTCGATAAGGTACCCGAGGACTCTGTTTCGGCTAGAGAGAGCTGGAGCTCTGAGACTGATTTAGAAATAGGTTCTGCAAGAGCTTTTGCTTCAGCACCTTTCCATTTCCATCTAGGCGCCATGTAATTAAACTGCATATATTTTTTTTTTGGGTACAAAATTAAACTGCATATATAGCACTAAAAAATCAAACCTTTTGACCAAAAGATAATGTAAAAAGCTTTTCTTAGTTTATTACCAACCACAACTCTTATAGTCTAGGAAAATCAGATAGACATAGTTGTTAACGTTTAAGGTATCTTGAAGAACCAAGTAGGAACTGGATTAAGCAAAACCAACAACTTTTGTATTCAAAGATCAATCGTCTATGAAGCGGAAACTGTGACATTCAATTTCACAACCAAGCTATTTTGAAATAGTAATCACATTATAATTGAAGATTATGTATTCTACATAACATAAGCAAGGAATCACATTCAGTCATTGAACTTGTCCTAACATGACAGTAAAACCATGAAGAGAAGGGATTTGGTGAAAAACTACACCTGGCGTTTTTATTTTGATGACAAAACAGAGGGTATCGAGGAATCTGGCAGCAGATTCAACAATGGAGAGCTATGTTTCAAGGATCCAATGGAGAGCTATGCGGCAGTGAAAAACGTATAAATTAGATTTATTGTTGATTTCGATTTCACTGTGAAAATCGAAAAGACATAGGAGAAAGACTAACGTACGCAGAGATGACGAAGATCCACCACCAAAATTCTTCGAAATCGTGAGTAAGCGATAGAGAATTGGAGCGAGATTCGGATCTCTCTCCCTGGGGAAGACAGTTGCGACTCGAGCAGCAGAGATTGTCGTGCCTCGTGTGAAGTTCATAAACCAGCGTCGTTTAATAAAATTTTAGAAAACGATAGCGTTTTGTAATGGTGTTTGTTTGGGCTGCTTATTTATACCCATTTAGGCCCGCGAATTTTAAGTCTACAGTATTTTAACATCATAGACAAAATGCGAGTCAGATAATGATGATTTCATTTGGGATTAAATAATTCGATTTCAAAATGTAGCTATCGGATCCCAAGGAGGAAAAAATTACTTTGCTAATTTAATTAATTTCCTTGATACTGTCATTAATCACAGATTTAATTTGATAGTGTTATAGTTTCCATTTTTTACTCAACTTACTCCAACTGATTGATAGATGGAGACTGGAGAGATCAATTTACCTTTTTATTTACTGGTTAAAATCAAGAATTTATGGTTCTTTTACTTCTTTTGACCAAGAAGCGTCTCATGTAAGCCATTCACAAATGACATTTTTACCCCTTCCTACACACGTGTGATGTGACGGTTCTCTGTATATATTTTGAAAAGGACGACGTAAAGCAAAAACCATTCGTCGTCAGTCGTCACCAACAGAGAGTAACAGTGGATTTTAACTATGCGGAAAGCAAGTATGGGTTCCGATTCCGAATATGCTTTTCGGTTACAGATGGAGGAGGCACTCGCGGCTTCTCTATCTTCTCAATCTCGCACTCCTCAACGACCACCTTCTCCTCCGATTGTGGCTTGGTGTGGTATCGCTATCGTTGAAAACGATCGGAACGGTTCGACGACGGCTAAAAAAAGTAGCGGTTACGGTTTCGATTTTAGGAGAGCCATCGGCGGAGGAAACTCTAAAGGCAAAGGCAAAACCAACGAGTCTGTCACTGGTGTACGTACAGATGAACCAAACCCTAACATTGGGCTTGGTAACTCCCGGAGTACTTCCGGACACGATAATATGAAACCCTTGCCGCAGGTAACTGTTCGTCCGGCGCAATTAGTCGGTGAGGGTAGTTCGAGGGTTAACGCTGCTGCCGGAAAATTTAATGGAAACCTCTTGTATAGGCTTTACTTTAAGGGTTTAGTTAGCGATGAGAACGGGAAGGGGAAGATGACGGACGTAGTGGCTGGGTTTGGGGTTGCTATTTGTGACCAGAGGGATAATTTGTTGTTTGAGATGAAGGGACCATTGATGGACAATGGCACGAGTCGTCAGGGAGCAGAGCTTAAGGCATTGATCCGAGGATTAACCGAAGCATTGAAGTTGGGGATTAAGCATATTGTTTTCTTTTGCGATTCTTTCCCGATTTTCCAATACGTAAGTTTCCGATTTTCATTGTTTATTCATTGAATGTTTAATATGAACTACTCTAGATTTATGATTCCGACTTTGTTTATGTATTTCTAAAGATGATCTGGTTTGTTCTCTTTGCAATTCGTTTGAACTTTTTGCTGATTCCTTTGTCCTGGAATCTAAAAGTGTAGTGTATATTGTAACCATTTTCTAAGCCACTATCATATGTCTTTGGTTTGCATTTATATAGATCTGACTGCGCTAATCTTTACTAGTTAGGAGACAGTAGACCGTGACTTCTAAGGTTCTATGCTTGTGTTTTGAGAGATGGTTTAAATTGCAATGAGTTATGCTTCTTTACCTAGCTTTTCCTGTCATATGTTTGAGAAGATTGTGTTTTACTTGAATGTAGGTCACGGGAAAATGGATGGCCAAGCAAAAGAAGATTTCTTTGTTGTTAGATGATCTACAAAGCATCATGCAACACTTTTCATCTTGTCAGCATGTTCTGGTGGCTGGAAACGATGTTAAATTTGCTTATAAACTTCCAAGGGAATCAATACTTTCTACGGTCACCCCTCATGAAGATCCTCGCCAAGCAAAATCAGCTCGGAAAGAGGAGTGTGCTATCTGTTTCAACGATATCCCTTGCTGAGCGCATGTTTTCTGTTGGAAAATGCCGTCACCGCTTTTGCTTTCAATGTGTGAAACAACATGTTGAGGTGAAGCTGCTTCATGGAATGGTTCCGAAATGTCCTCACGATGGCTGCAAGTCTGAGCTGGTTATCGATGCCTGTGGCAAGCTTTTGACTCCAAAACTGAGTAAAATGTGGCAACAAAGACTTAAAGAGAATGCGATACCTGTCACAGAGAGAGTTTACTGCCCTTACCCGAGGTGCTCGGCTTTGATGTCCAAGACCAAGATTTCTGAATCTGCCAAGAGCTTACTGTCTGTTTACCCTAAATCTGGAGTTAGGAGATGTGTTGAATGTCGTGGCCTCTTCTGTGTGGACTGTAAAGTTCCGTGGCATGCAAATCTGTCCTGCACTGAGTATAAGAAATTGCATCCTAACCCTCCAGCAGATGACGTGAAGCTAAAATCTCTTGCGAACAATAAGATGTGGCGCCAATGTGGCAAGTGCCAACACATGATTGAACTTTCACAAGGATGCAATCACATAACTTGCAGGTATCTATCTATTTCTCTACACATTGATCCTCCTAAAAACCTTATCAAATAAAATAAGACCATGTAATCTAAAGCAGATGTGATAAACTGCAATCTTTCTATGTTTAACTATTCGACATTCCCTTTGGTATTCTCGTTAGATGTGGGCATGAGTTTTGCTACAATTGCGGAGGTGGATGGAACAAGAAAATGAGGACTTGTGTAAATCGCTGCCCGGCCTGGAACGAAGAATACATCACACGTGAAGATCCAGTGCGTGCCAATGTGGCGCCTAACAACTACTTTGATGATGAGGATGAGGACAGTGATGATGATGATTACGACTATGAAGACTTCTTCCACCCTCATTTTGGACATGCTATGAATGCTCATAATCCTGAAGAGCCCTTCGACCCCTTCTTCGACTTGCCAGATGGTAATGTGCCCTTCCAAATCTCTCTAAAACCCTTGAATCTCATATAGTTCATACTGAAAGCACTCTCTGTTAATCTGTAGGTGTGATCTTGACCCCCGAGATGTTGTCTCCCAAGAGTCGTCTCCAATTGTACATGGCGGAAGCAGATGAGGATTGCGAATACTTTGGGAAGTATGGAAAGTACACTACAGTGTACGACTCCGACGGCTATGAAATCGAGGACTACACGAACCCTTTCCATCCTGATTACCCTCACTTCTGAGGATTGGTTTGGAACCAAAGTTCGATCTTTTTTTTTTTTTTCTAGGTCCAAACTCTTTTGCTATATTATGCTATTTTACTCTTTAATCGTTTTTTGAGGTTCATGTTTCTATGACTTGTTGTTCTGTATGAGTTTGGGTAGGCCTAGGCATATGGGTAAACCGTTCGGGTTCGGGTTAAATGGGTAATGAATTAACGACCCATTCGGGTATTTCTAAATATTCGGTTCCGGTTCGGTTCGGGTATCGCCGGGTTCGGGTCGGTTTGGGTAAAAAATTTTAAACCCAATAAATACCCAAAAAACATGGGTACCCGTTCGGTTCGGGTATTTTATATGTAAAATGTCGGGTTTTATACGTAAAATACCGGGTACCCGAAAAAAACCTTAAAAATTTGTTAAATTTTAATAAATTTAGTTATATTTGAATACATTTTGCTAAATTTTGACAAACATAACAAATAGTTTTTGGATAGTTTGGTTGTTTTAGATATTTAAGTCTAAAGTTAATTGACATATTTAGATTTATAATTGTAATTCTATATTATTAAATTATATATAATTAATATTTTTGATATTTAATTATATGTTCGGATATTCGGGTACCCTGTTTGGGTAACGGGTATTACTCGGACCGACCCGATATCCACGGGTTTTCAAAAACTGTACCCAATGAGATAATTTCCTCTTACCCGTACCCGCCCCGAACCGGTTTTTTCGATTCGGGTATCAGTCCGGGTTTTTTGTCCAGGCCTAAGTTTGGGTAATCTTGGAATTTGTAGACACTTTGGGATTAAAGTTAGTGCATTGTTTTCGCTTTATTTTATTTTTTTCTTGGTTTCGGCTTGCTCATCTTTTTGTTTCCCTTCAATGAGATTGATAGCGAACAAGTATATTTGCATTCCTCTCACACTTATGGTTCAGTTACGAATGGGCCGAGATCGGGCCGGATACATTATATAGCCCACTCGTCTCGGAATCTACAGCCGGAGATATCAGTCGCCGTCTATTTCGTTCCCAATGACGATAAATTAAGAAAGACCCACTGTTTCGACGATTAGCACACATAAATTCACAATTTGGGTACACATCTATTGGATTTGCAGCAATGCAAACGTCTCGCAGTCAAGAAGCTGAGGCGGAGATGAAATGTGATTCGTGTGATTGGACTTTTTGCTTGAGCTTTTTACCAAATAACCTGCAGGTTCGTCATTTCTTTGTATAGTGCCATATCAAAGAATTTGCTGTCAAATTTACAAATGCTAAAGTCAAATCGTTTATTGTTCTGTCATCTGTGATGAGACATATAATAACCTGGTTAATCTCTAAACTTTTGTTTTAAAGGTGATTTTGATAAATCACATACTCAACAACGGAGAATGGAGAAATGTTTGGAAATGCTCTGGATTGAACTAAGCAAGCCTCTTTATGTTATTCTAGTTATAACTGTGGAGAACATGATCTTGTTGATTTTTTTTTTCTTTCACATTAGTTAGTTAATGTTCTAACTTCTAATTAGGAAGATTGTAATCTGGTTATGATATTGTTCCTTAAATTTAGTGTTACTCGTTTGAATTTTTTTTCTGCTGATCATGGCCATTACAAGACTCAACAATTGGGAAGGAAAAACTGTTTGGATAATGATGATACTGATATGGGGTCACTTTATTCACAATATTCATAGAGTTGTTTTCTTGTAGATTTGGTTGCGGGCTCTGCACTGCAGAACAGGACAGAAAGAGACCGATATTAGTGTGAAAACTCGATTACAAGCAAGCGATGCAATACATGGTGGGATATGTATTTTTCATCCATGAAAGGTAAGGCTACTGATGTTATTGATACGGTGAGTCTGTGACCCTTCAATTTCTTATATGACTTGGACTGAAAATGATGGACTTACCCTTTGAAACAAGTTAGATTTCAAGGAAATTCTATTAGAACAATTTGGTGCATCTTCTTTCCAAATGATTGGCCTTTGAACCTAGGACTGTTACGAATTTGATATGTGGATTTAATAATGACATTTGCATGTCTGCAGCTTATTTGGATATTTGAAATAGCCATGGAATATTAGGAAAGATGGAGGAAATTTCCATGAAGCGTGTAGATATGACATTCTGAGTTTCTTAAGGGTAAGATTGAAATGGTCATTGTTCAATAAAGTTGACTTTGACATAATATAACATATAATATACAAAGTGTATAAAGAAATTATCAACCCTATAGTATCTTATATTATCTTAATGTCAATGAGTATTTCGAGCCCCATATTTTAATCTATTCCGTCAAACACAATAGAAGTGTTATCCGTTAACTTGAGTGTCTAATAATATGACCAAAAACTTTGAAGTCACATCCAAATCCAGTGGCTCTGCCAACTAGAGACTTGTTTTTATCAGAGATTTGTTTTGCACCGTCCTCCTTTTCTTTTCAATGATCAGTGTTTTGACATTTTCCTCTTAAATAAATGATATTAAAGGCCAATCAGTCCAAGCTTTTTTACCTCTTTCTTTATTCCATGGAATTGATTTTGCTGTCTTGACATAGACAGGTGTTGCGAAAGTCTTATTATGGGAAAGGTAATATACCATAAAGATTCTAAAGCAGTCGTAATATTTGACTTTGAAGTCATTTTCAATGGGTCTACAACCAGAGAGAAAGAGCTAATTGTTAAGCATTGAGAGCAAAGAAAGTATACAAAAACAAAAGCGAAACGATAACTCTCTGTTTGTTTCATTACCAATGATTCGAGGATTGCTTTTGGGAATCATCTGGATGATATTTTGTGTTTGTTCATCATTTCAGCAAGAGACGCCGTTTGTTTACAACAACTTTGGTCAAGCAGATCATCTTCACCTTGACGGTAGTGCAAGAATCATTCCCAGTGGTGGTATCCTGCAACTGACAAATGCAACCAATAGCCAAATAGGTCAAGTTTTCTACGAGAAGCCGATTGAGTTCAAATCATCTGAATCAGTCTCGTTCTCGACACATTTTGTGTGTGCACTGCTCCCTGCAGGTGATCCGAGTGGCCATGGCATGACCTTTTTTGTGTCTCATTCCACTGATTTCAAGGACGCAGAGGCAACTCGATACTTCGGGCTTTTCAACAGAAATGGATCTACTTCCACACGTGTGTTGGCTGTAGAGCTTGACACTTCTCTAGCTTCAGATGTGAAAGATATCAATGATAATCATGTTGGGATTGATGTGAACAGCGCGGAGTCTGTGACATCTGCCAATGCTTCTTATTTCTCAGACAAAGAAGGGAAGAATATAGACATAAAACTCTTGAGTGGTGATCCTATCCAGGTTTGGGTGGACTATGAAGGATTAACACTCAACGTTTCATTGGCTCCTCTTAGAAACAAGAAACCAAGCCGACCTCTTTTGTCGTCAACATCCATCAATCTTACTGATATTTTGAAAGGTAGAAGAATGTTTGTCGGGTTTTCTGGCTCAACCGGGTCAAGCATGAGTTACCAGTACATACTCGGGTGGAGTTTCAGCAAAAGCATGGCGTCTCTGCTGAACATTGACATCTCAAAACTTCCCAAAGTTCCTCACACTAGCACTAAAAAGAAGTCTACATCTCCTGTGCTCGGTGTTCTGCTTGGTTTAATAGCTTTCATAGTTTTGGGGATTCTTGTTGCAGCTTATTTGTATAGGAGAAACTTGTACGCTGAAGTAAGAGAGGAATGGGAAAAGGAGTATGGTCCACTCAGGTATTCCTACAAATCTCTATACAAAGCAACAAAAGGGTTCAATAGGACTGAATTTCTTGGGAGAGGAGGTTTTGGTGAAGTCTACAAAGGAACTCTCCCTCGGAGCAGAGAACTGAGAGAAGTAGCTGTGAAGCGAGTATCACATGATGGTGAGCAGGGTATGAAGCAATTTGTTGCTGAGATCGTGAGCATGAGGAGTTTAAAACACCGGAGCTTGGTTCCACTTCTTGGGTATTGCAGGAGAAAACATGAGTTATTACTGGTGTCTGAGTACATGCCAAATGGTAGTCTTGACCATTACTTGTTTAATCATGATAGATTTTCTCTTCCCTGGTGGAGAAGACTCGCGATCCTAAGAGACATCGCATCAGCTCTTAGTTACTTACATACAGAAGCTGACCAAGTTGTTATACACAGAGATATCAAAGCTGCAAATGTTATGTTGGACGCAGAGTTCAATGGAAGGTTGGGTGATTTTGGTATGTCCAGGTTGTATGACAGAGGGGCTGATCCAAGCACAACAGCTGCAGTGGGAACTGTTGGTTACATGGCACCTGAGCTTACAACAATGGGAGCTTCCACTGGAACTGATGTGTATGCGTTTGGTGTTTTCTTGCTTGAAGTAACTTGTGGGAGGAGACCTGTGGAACCTGGATTGCCTACTGCAAAACGTTTTCTGATCAAATGGGTTAGTGAATGCTGGAAAAGGTCTTCTTTGATTGATGCTAGAGATCCAAGGTTGACAGAATTCTCATCTCAGGAAGTCGAGAAGGTTCTGAAACTCGGTTTGCTATGTGCAAACCTTGCTCCAGATTCAAGACCGGCCATGGAACAAGTGGTGCAATACTTAAACGGAAACCTAGCTTTGCCCGAGTTTTGGCCCAATTCTCCAGGGATTGGAGTTCTCAGTCCAATGGAGCTTTCGCCAGCACCACTCGTGATCCCTTCACTATCATTTTCGTCTTCCTCCTCCAACAACTCTATGTTTATTACTCACTCAGTCCTCTACGGGAGTGGGCGATAAAGTTTCTAACAGCTTCCCTCTTCTTTGGCCTCTTATTATTGACTGATTTTCAGCCATTTCTTCTCAAATTTTGTTTCATCAATGTATATGCTCGCACCATGTCCATTCTTGACATCTGCACTAAGCTTAGCGTGTAGAACGATTAAACAAGACTGATCATTCGTGTAAAATTCTTGCAATTACTTTGCAATCTTTTGTAAAGCAACTTGTTGTCACCCTTTGACAAATATTGTTCTGTAACTAGAAAGCTGATATATAGTTTGGTTATGAAATTGTTTCTTTTAAGGGTTATGTTCTTTTGGAAAACTGACAGACATCAAGACACAACAGTATAGTCCTAGGAGATGCATGTTTCAGCCCATTTGAGTAGGCTCTCGACTATGAAAAGTGTTGAAACACTCAGAGATGGTGACAATGCAACTTTCTAAATTGTTTAAGAAAAGTAGGACTTGGTATGACAAATTAGCGAGAAGCTTGCCTTTGAATATTGTGAAACTCCAAGGAAATTCTATTCTGTGGAATTTGTGTATTCTTTTAACAAAGAAGACCAAAATGTGACAGCTATTATTATATTGTTGAAGTCAACTCTTACCAATTCTCTTGGAAAATGCAGAATGTTCTTCTTCTTGTGAAGTATTAATCGACCTTGTTTTGCAGATGGAAAGCATAGTTATTTGCCATACCATTGACTCAGAGACAAGATTTTTCTCAAAACAGCAAACACTTTGTTGCATTAACAATGGTTCCAAGACTGGATCTGATCTGGATGTTGATCTCCTTTTTTCTTCTGATTCACCAGTCAAGTCAACAAGAAACTGGATTCATCTTCAATGGTTTTCGCCAGGGAGATCTTCATGTTGATGGGGTTGCTCAAATCCTCCCCGGTGGATTATTGCAGCTGACCAACACTTCAGAGCAGAAAATGGGTCATGCTTTCTTCAGGCAGCCCTTTGAGTTCAATTCATCTGAATCTCTGTCATTCTCAACACATTTCGTGTGTGCCATGGTGCGTAAACCAGGAGTTACAGGCGGAAACGGGATTGCTTTCTTTCTATCTCCTTCCATGGATCTTTCAAACGCAGATGCAACTCAGTATTTGGGTCTTTTCAACACCACAACCAACAGATCTCCCTCATCTCATATCTTTGCTATTGAGCTTGATACTGTTCAAAGTGCAGAATTTGATGACATCGATAACAATCATGTTGGTATCGATGTGAACAGCCTAACCTCTGTCGAATCTGCTCCGGCTTCTTACTTTTCAGACAAAAAGGGTCTCAACGAAAGCATAAGTCTCTTGAGTGGAGATTCAATCCAGGTCTGGGTGGACTTTGATGGAACTGTACTAAACGTTTCATTGGCACCTCTTGGGATTCAGAAGCCAAGTCAGAGTCTTTTATCAAGATCCATCAACCTTTCAGAAGTTATCCAAGATAGAATGTTTGTTAGATTCTCTGCAGCAACAGGACAATTGGCAAATAACCATTACATACTCGGTTGGAGTTTCAGCAGAAGCAAGGCATCATTACAGAGCCTAGACATCTCAAAACTTCCCCAAGTTCCTCATCCTAAAAAGAAACCTTCTCTCGTGCTGATTCTTCTGTTGATTGTGCTTGGAATCATACTCTTGGTACTTATGGGAGGAGCTTATTTATACAGAAGAAACAAGTATGCAGAAGTAAGAGAGGAATGGGAGAAAGAGTATGGTCCACACAGATACTCCTACAAAGCCATGTACAAGGCAACAAAAGGATTCCACAAAGATGGTTTTCTTGGAAAAGGAGGATTCGGAGAAGTCTACAAAGGAACTCTACCTGATGAAGGAGATATAGCTGTGAAAAGATTTTCCCATGATGGAGAACGAGGGATGAAGCAATTCGTGGCTGAAATCGCAAGCATGGGTTGCTTAGATCACAGGAACCTGGTTCCACTTTTCGGGTACTGCAGGCGAAAAGGCGAGTTTCTTCTCGTCTCCAAGTACATGCCTAATGGAAGTCTTGACCAGTTCTTGTTTCATAACAGAGAACCATATCTTACTTGGTTTAAAAGGCTAGGGATTCTAAAGGGTATAGCTTCAGCTCTAAAATACTTGCACACAGAAGCTACACAAGTTGTTCTACACAGAGATATCAAAGCTTCAAATGTAATGTTGGACACAGACTTCACTGGAAAGTTAGGAGATTTTGGTATGGCTAGGTTTCATGACCATGGAGCTAATCCAACCACAACAGGAGCTGTGGGAACTGTAGGATACATGGCACCAGAGCTAACAGCAATGGGAGCTTCAACTAAAACAGATGTATACGCATTTGGTGCATTGATTCTTGAAGTAACTTGTGGGAGAAGACCTGTAGAACTTAATCTTCCGATTGAGAAACAACTTCTGGTGAAATGGGTTTGTGATTGCTGGAGAAGGAAAGCTTTAATTAGTGCTCGAGATCCCAGATTGAGTGAAGACTTGATACCTGAAATCGAGATGGTATTGAAATTAGGGTTGCTGTGCACGAATCTTGTGCCGGAATCGAGACCTGAGATGGTAAAAGTTGTGCAGTATCTTGACGGACAGGTTTCGTTGCCGGATTTCTCAGCAGATTCACCGGGAATTGGGATTCTTACTCCGGTTTTGGTCGGAGGAAGCTCCACCGTGATCTCTAACAATTCTTCACCGGAGACTCATCAGTTTATTACTCACTCGATCCAATACGGAGTTGGACGGTAAAACCTAACAAATTTGAAGCTTGAAGATCAACGTTGTGAACAAAAAGTTGATATGGCCGAGTTGGTCTAAGGCGCCAGATTAAGGTTCTGGTCCGAAAGGGCGTGGGTTCAAATCCCACTGTCAACATTTCCATTTTCTTTTTTTTTTAATCTTTTTTTCTGAAGTTTGCAAAGAATAGTTTGAAAATAATTGTAATTGTTTTAGAAATGTATATATTAATTTATGAATATACCCCAACCCCATTAATTATGTGATTTACAATGTTACCCACCCAATTTCACTCCAGAGGATTTCTCAAATTACAGTTTCTTCTCAGTTAGTCTCACATCTTCGATACGGCCGTAGACAGGAGAAAGACACTTTTTAATTCTGAATTGAGCGGAATTTTCTCGATTAGGGTTCCGGAAAAGGTGAATTTCCTTTATCTGCTTGGTATCGATGATTAAACATGAATTCTGGAATTTACTGGTTTTGAGCAATTGTTAGCTAGGAAGTGTGTCAACTGCGGAAAACTAATCTTTTGGAAGAAATTTTGTGGATGCTAATTGGCAGACCGTTTACAAGTGTTGGAAAATGGTTTAGATCTGAGACTGAGAGTTGAATTTCTCAGCTCAAGAAGTTGAAACTAAGGTTGCTTTGCACAATTGGTGTGTCAAAACTGACAACCATTCTCTTTCAAGTCGCATGACTTCTTCCTATTCTGGAAACATGTCCTATATATATCCTCTGCTGATTGTTGGAATCTTCCTTCATTAGCAGTTATCCAGATAATGTTCAAAGCTACACAAGGTGCAGGTATTTGACCACTGATCTCTTATCTGATTTTCTCTATACATTAATGGATTTTCACCAAAATAAATACCATTTCCTGCTGCTTAGACAGGTAGCTAGCTAGTAATTAAGTTTATAGTCATTGAGTACTCTTCGGGATTTAGTTTGTCTAAGAGAGAGCTTTATGTTACAGTTGTTGTCTATTTTCTTTTCTCCAATCTTAGTTTGAATTGTAATTTATGTGAGGATGTATTCTCCTGCACCTGTAGAGCTGAATTAACAAGTCCTAAAGGGTTAGGTTAACAAGGTAGGACCTAACTATATTTTCTATCAATTTTCATATTCATCATTTAAAGAAAATTCGTAGTTGTTACGTATATATAGGACAGGCTTATTCCTAGGCATCTTCCCTTTGGTCGGGCTAATAATGGTGTTGATATCATTACAAAACTTGGGGTTTTTATTCATTCTGCGCCTGAAAAGTCAAGGACATGTGTAAAATATGTTTTTTTTTTTTTTTTAAAATATATCTATTTGTCTGCTTCCTTATAAGATGGCTTCAATTAGAAATAGAAGAAAAATCCAATGCAAGTTGGTGCGCTATCTAGTCCTACACACATTTTAAGGAGTTTATAAATGTTAGTTATACGCATTATTATTGTTCCAGGGTACCTCCATGCAGCAGTTGCGTTGTCTATCTAAAATTTGAAGTTGAGAGATCATATAAGTTAAAATATTGCGTCAGAATATTTTGAAAACCACGTTGAAGCTTTATAGTTATCTTTTTAATATAATCGTGTTAGTGGAGTACAGTTTGTAAAGCAAAGGTGATTCCCTTGATTAAAGAAACATTATTAGAAAGTTTGGATCACCAAAACAGTAGCTCACATCCTCTTTTTCTTCATTTTTTCTCCAGCTTGCGAGGTGCACCGTCTTGAGTTCCACATCAGATCCAGACTCTCTGGTTCATCATCTGCAATGGCTCGTTGGTTGCTTCAGATCCTGATCATCTCTTCTCTTCATCTGATTTCTCTATCAAGTCAACAAGAGACAAGCTTTGTCTATGAAAGCTTCCTCGACCGACAAAATCTTTATCTTGACAAATCTGCAATAGTACTTCCCAGTGGTTTATTGCAGCTTACGAATGCTTCAGAGCACCAGATGGGTCATGCTTTCCACAAGAAACCAATTGAGTTCAGTTCATCTGGACCACTCTCTTTCTCAACACACTTTGTGTGTGCTCTGGTGCCTAAGCCACGTGTTGAAGGCGGCCATGGTATTGTCTTTGTATTATCTCCTTCTATGGATTTCACGCACGCAGAATCAACTAGATACTTGGGGATTTTCAATGCTTCAACAAGTGGATCTTCCTCTTATCACGTACTTGCTGTTGAGCTTGACACTATTTGGAACCCAGATTTCAAAGATATCGACCACAATCATGTGGGGATTGATGTGAACAGTCCTATATCTGTCGCAATAGCTTCTGCATCTTACTATTCCGACATGACAGGGAGTAACGAAAGCTTAAACCTTTTAAGCGGAAACCCTATACAGGTCTGGGTGGATTATGAAGGCACTTTGCTCAATGTGTCGATTGCTCCTCTTGAAGTCCAGAAGCCAACTCGACCTCTTTTATCACACCCCATCAACCTTACAGAACTTTTTCCAAATAGATCAAGTCTGTTTGCTGGGTTCTCTGCAGCAACAGGGACAGCGATCAGTGATCAATATATTCTCTGGTGGAGTTTTAGCACTGGCAGAGGATCGCTGCAGCGACTTGATATCTCAAAACTTCCTCAAGTTCCTCATCCTAGAGCTCCACATAAGAAAGTATCTACACTGATTATTCTCCTGCCCGTTTGTCTGGCTATTTTGGTGCTGGCTGCTCTTGCAGGGCTTTATTTCCGCAGGAGACGCAAGTATGCAGAAGTATCTGAAACATGGGAAAAGGAGTTTGATGCGCATCGGTTCTCTTACAGGTCCTTGTTCAAAGCAACAAAGGGGTTCAGCAAAGATGAATTTCTGGGAAAAGGAGGTTTTGGAGAAGTTTTTAGAGGAAATCTGCCACAAGGCAGAGAAATAGCAGTGAAGAGAGTGTCCCATAATGGTGATGAAGGTGTGAAGCAGTTTGTGGCTGAAGTCGTGAGCATGAGATGTCTGAAACACAGGAATCTTGTACCACTGTTTGGGTATTGCAGAAGAAAACGAGAACTTCTTCTTGTCTCAGAGTACATGCCCAATGGTAGTCTTGACGAGCATTTGTTTGATGACCAGAAACCGGTTCTTTCTTGGTCACAAAGACTTGTGGTTGTTAAGGGCATAGCCTCTGCTCTCTGGTACCTGCATACAGGTGCCGACCAAGTTGTCCTGCACCGAGATGTCAAAGCTTCCAACATTATGTTAGACGCGGAGTTAAATGGAAGGTTAGGGGATTTTGGCATGGCCAGGTTTCATGAGCACGGAGGCAATGCAGCTACAACAGCAGCTGTGGGAACTGTAGGGTACATGGCGCCGGAGCTAATCACAATGGGAGCTTCCACTGGAACTGATGTTTACGCATTTGGTGTTTTCATGCTTGAAGTAACCTGTGGGAGGAGGCCCGTGGAACCGCAGTTGCAAGTTGAGAAACGACATATGATCAAATGGGTTTGTGAGTGCTGGAAAAAGGATTCTTTGCTTGATGCTACTGACCCGCGATTGGGAGGTGAATTCATAGCCGAGGAAGTCGAGATGGTTATGAAACTGGGTCTGCTCTGTTCAAATATAGTGCCAGAATCCAGACCAACAATGGAACAAGTGGTCCTTTACCTAAACAAAAACCTACCTTTGCCAGATTTCTCTCCATACACTTTGGGGATTGGCACATTTGCTCCTGTTCTGGTTGATGCATCCTCCCTTGTAGTCTCATCTGCTTCATGGAGTTGGTCAGGTCCCTCTATGTCTTCTTCCTCGGCCAATCACTCACCTTATGCTTGTCAGTCAACAGATCAGCCATGGGGGCAGACAATAGACACTAAGAACTCTCTTCACATAATTGCAGAACCAGAGAAGCCCTCACCGGCTGTCAAAACGGTCACATTGCCTGCAGAAGATCATCAGTCCAATAATTCCAGCATCGGCAGTCAGAGGTAAATTCGTGATGTACATATCAAGCAAGCAGATATCATTAGCTCTCAATATTGTTTCATCTGTCTCACTTGTCCCAACAAAATCAGTTTGTTCATTGTATAATCCAGCTAATGATTATACAATTCTCAATTTCTCATATCACAACTTGTACTCCTGGATATGTTTTTATATATGATTTTGGGTTCAATGTTGAATTTTTAATGCTGTGTATAAAACAAAACTAATTCGATCCGATACAATGTCTAGCCCCAAAGATACGTAGCTTTTTGGAATCTAATTAGTCTCTCCTTGGTGGCTATCTACATAGCCAAACAATGAAGAAGATGTTCCATCTGTTATCTTCATTTCTTAACTGCGGATATCCTGCTGTCACATTGTCTTTTTATTCTCTTCACTCCATGCTTAGCTTCAGTAATTTTATTTGTTGTGCATGTCAGATAAATTCTCCTACACCTGTGGAGCGGAAATAGCAATTCGACAGATTCTAGTCTATTTCCAAGATGATTGTGTTTTTCCATGAAGAGCTAGGTTAATTAATATGGTAAGACCCAAACCTTTTAAACTGCATTCGTCATCTAGGGAACATTCATAGCTGTCTTGACTTTGCTAGGCTTTCTTAGCCTTGTTCCTTTTAGTCTGGCTCATACTTTTGTTGTGAAAACATGGCTTTTTGTTTCTGCATTGGGAAGTGCCAACAGCCAATATTTTAAGTATGGTCATTTTAGGGGACATTTTAGTACAGATCTTAGGGATTTTTTTGGGGTCAAAGTCTAAAAGATAGCTTCAAGTTGAAGAAGTAGAAGTAAAATCCACTTACAGTTAGTGAGCAGCTAGTCCAAGACATTAGCTAGTGTTTAATTTTTGTTTGACCCGTCGTTATTACCGTTTGTGGGTACACCACATGCAGCATTGCCTAGTTTCATTGGGTTGAACTTGGATCATTAATTATTTGTTTTTTTTTTTTTTGGCTCAATTATGTTAAAATATTGTTTCAGATGAAGCTTCATTGTTAATTTATCTAATACTATAGCATTAATAGAGTCCAGCTTGTAAAGAGATAAAATGGCGAGTGCATCTGATGCTGGTATTCCCGTGGATAAACAAACAATACTTTAAACTTGGATTACCAAAATATCAACTCCTTCTTTGTTCCTTTTTCTTTAGCTTGCGAGGTTTTGATATGTACCATTTGGAGTTGAGAGAAAATCCGCAAAACATATCATAAGCAATGACTTGGGGGTTGTTTCAGATTCTAATGATAGATATCCTTTTTTCATTTGATTGAACTCTCAAGCCAGCAAGAGACAAGGTTTGTCTATGAAAACTTCCGCGGCCAAGAAAATCTTTATCTTGATGGATCTGCAAGAGTACTTCCCAGTGGATTATTGCAGCTTACAAATGCTTTACATCATCAAAGGGCTCATGTCTTCTATTAGGAATCAATTGGGCTCAGTAACTCTAGACCACTCTCCTTCTCAACACATTTTGTTTGCGCTCTGGTGCCTCAGCCTGGAGTTGAAGGCGGTCATGGAATGGCCTTTGTAGTATCTCCTTCAATGGATTTCTCGCATGCAGAATCAACTAGATACTTGGGGATTTTCAACGTGTCAAAAAATGGATCTCCCTCTTCTCATGTGCTTGCTGTTGAGCTTGACACTATTTGGAACCCGGATTTTGAAGATATCGACCACAATCATGTGGGGATTGATGTGAACAGTCCTCTGTCGGATGGAATAGCTTCGGCATCTTACTTTTCCGACATAAAGCGGAAGAACGAAAGCATAAACCTCTTGAGTGGAAACCCATTACAGGTTTGGGTTGATTATGAAGACAATATGCTCAATGTTTCGATGGCTCCTTGTGAAGTCCAGAAGCCAAGTCGGCCTCTGTTGGGGTCGGTTTCACCCTTTGGCGCCGAGCCAGACTTAGAACATTTTGGGAGTCTTTCAGAGATCATCTCGGGGCATCGCATCATTCACCTCGGGATATCTGTCTAAACGATTTAGTATACCCGAGCCCATCGCCTCGGGGATACATTAACAAGACTACGAAGGCACCCGAGCTCTACCGCCTCGGGGGCACCCGAGCCCAATTGCCTCGGGGGTACCCGAGCCCAATTGCCTCGGGGATATCCTGAAGCAGACATCAGAAGCACCCGAGCCCAATTGCCTCGGGGGTACCCTAGCCTGGTCGCCTCGGGAGTTTCCGAGCCCATCGCCTCGGGGACACCCGAAGAAGCCACCCTAGAATGCCCGAGCCAGTCCTTCATGTGTACCCGAGCCGGTCTTACAAGTTCCCTGAGGCGAAGTCTTCATCATCGCCCGAAGCAAAGACTTAGTAAATATTCTTCTTTAAAGGTATCATTTCTAAGCACATTGTCATTTCCGAAAAAGAAGGATCATTTCCGATAATCTCGGAAATGATAAGGAAGAATCGCGAAGGATCAACTCAAATCAGGAAATCTTCCGAAAACTCCGAAGAATAAGGAAATTATCCTAATCCGCGATATTCTAGCCGACTTCAAGGTAAATGGAAATCTTCCGAGAATATCGCTGGAGAGGCGGTTTGTCTTCCCTATATAAAGAGATTCAAGGCTAGAACGATGGGGGCAAGCAATATCGCTCTAGAAATTACACTACGCAAAGCTCTCACAGCACAAACACTTTTTCTTTTACGATCAAACTCTTGTACGATCAAAATCGTCATTTCATTAATAATATCAAGAACGCCATCTTTGGTATCAATCGTTTCTGTTGTTCTTTGAGAATTCACGATTATCGTATCCCTAAAATACAACCCTAGACAAATCTTGATTGTGTTAGTTTCGACTTCCACAGTTTGGCGCCCACCGTGGGGTGTACTTTAGAATTCTCTTACCCTAAGACGCAGAACTCGATTACTGAAAAGGACGATGACCGAAGACGGTCGTCAGACACCACCAGCTGGAGGAGGAATCCCGAACCCTCCGAACCCTCCGAACCCTCAGAATCCTCAAGCCGCCGATCCGACGATCCTAGCGACTCTAGCCGAACTGAAAGATCTGATGGTTAAATTCCAGAAGAAAACTGACGACCAAGAGAAAGCCAACCAAACCTTGGCACAGCGAGTCGACGAAATCGCAACACGCGGGCAACAAAAAACCACACGTTTCCAAACTCGGCCACCACGAGCTCGGAGGGACTTGCCTGGCATCAACCCAACGAGACTCACGTTCGCAACACCAACCGGCAACGCCAGAGTCGCAACCCGAGCCGACCCTGTCAGGCGCGAGAACCAGGATGATCCCACCGAGCCGGACGCAGTGGACTTGACGGACGAGCCAGATGATCTGCAAGATGAACGTACGCGAGCCGGAGCTAACTCAGCCGAGCGAACAGATCTCACTGACGATGAAGAAACTGAGGAAAACATAAGGTGGGCCGAAGAATCCGAAAGAGAAGACGAGCTAAGCAAGATCCGAGCCTCCCTAGCCAAGGCGGAAGCCGATATGAAGCTCGTCAAAACCCAGATACATAGCGTCTCATCCTCCGCGCCGAACATCGACCGAATTTTGGAAGAATCTCGGAATACGCCTTTCACCAAATGAATTTCTGAGACGACGATGTCCAACCTGGGAAAGTTCAGAATCGACTCCTACAACGGATCAACCGACCCGAAGTGCCACATTAAATCGTTCGTGATATCTGTGGCCCGAGCCAGGTTCAAGCCCGGAGAAAAGGATGCGGGTCTGTGCTTACTGTTCGTGGAACACCTCAAAGGACCCGCATTAGAGTGGTTTTCAAGATTGGAACGAAACTCGATTGATAGTTTCGACGAGCTGTCGACATTGTTCCTCAAACAATACTCCGTGCTCATCGACCCCGGAACTTCCGACGCGGATCTATGGTCCTTGTCTCAACAGCCCACCGAGCCACTAAGGGATTTCCTCAAGACCTTCAAATCGACGCTAGCCAAGGTCGAAGGAATTACAGATGTAGCAGCTCTCTCGGCTTTGAAGAAAGCTCTCTGGTACAAGTCAGAATTCAGGAAAGAGTTGAACCTGTCTAAACCAACGACAATTCGCGACGTGCTCCATCGAGCCTCGGATTTCGTCGCCCACGAAGAAGAAATGGCGCTACTAGCAAAGAGGCACGAGCCAACAAAACAGGCGCCCCGAGCCGAGAAAACCGAGAAAGCCCAAGCGGCGCCTCCGGTCCAGAAAAAGACACGTGAGAGCAGTACGTATACGCATCACGAAGGGCGCAATTTCTCAGGATACCATAGCTACCAGATTGACACGCCCCGAGGCCGTGGCCGCGGTAGAGGCCGAGGCCGTGGGCGAGGAAGAGAGTCCTTCACCTGGACAAGGGATCAGCCGCCGAGCAATGATCAAGAATATTGCGAACACCACAAAATTTTTGGCCATCATACCTCGAGATGCCGAAGCCTCGGAGCCAAGTTAGCAACCAAATTCCTAGCTGGAGAACTCGGAACAAACGTTCCTCTTAAGGACCTCGAGCCAGAACCAGAGCCCGAGCAGACTAACTCGGGAAGAGATCCCGAACCAAGGAACCAGGAGTCTCAGAAAAGAACCCGAGGGACGGAAGACGAAGACCGAGATGGTACGCGACAGAAGGTTCTTACCATAATGGGTGGATCACCATACTGTCCTGACACCGTAGCGGCAATTAAAGCTTATCAACGCCGAGCCGAGACGCCTAGCAACTGGACAAGACGCTTCGATCGACCTAACGACGTGATCACATTCGAAGAAAGCGAGACAAACGGGCTCGACATGCCTCATAACGATCCAATCGTCGTCACATTAGCGATAGGAGACCACGATATTTATCGAGTGTTGATTGACACCGGCAGCACCATTGACGTGAACTTTCGCGAAACGCTCCAACGAATGAACATCGACATGTCACAGGTGGTTCCGACCCCGAGGCATGTCCTCGGATTTTCAGGAGAAACTTTGATGACGCTTGGAACCATCCAACTACCAGTCCGAGCCGGCGGGGTAACAAAGATAGTCAACTTCTCAGTCACCGACCGACCTACCATCTACAACGTCATAATGGGGACTCCGTGGTTAAATCTAATGCGAGCTGTCGCATCAACATATCATCTGTGTGTCAAATTCCCGACCCCTAATGGCGTGAAAACAATATGGGGCAGTCAGAAAAATTCTCGGATGTGTTTCATGGCAGCACACAAACTCCGAAACCCCGTCACCGAAGCGAAGGCCGAAACCAATCACAAGAAATCAAAACTTGGCCGGAGTGAAGAGAAGGCTATATCTAAACAGTTATAGCAATTACAGATCGAGGAGGCGCGCGAGGAGAAGAAGCCTACCTCGGATCCTGTAATCTCCATTAGCCTCGACGATGAACGGCCCGAACGATGCGTAGAAATTGGCAGCGACTTGAGCGAGGAAATCAAGACCGAGCTCGTCTCATTCCTCAAAGAGAACATCAACACCTTCGCCTGGTCAGCTGAAGATCTACCTGGAGTGAGCATCGACATAATCTGCCACGAGCTGAATGTTGATCCATCTTTCAAGCCCATCAAGCAGAAGCGAAGAAAATTGGGCCGGGATCGCGCAGACGCCGTGAACGCCGAAGTTGAAAAGCTCCTGAAGATCGGTTCGATCTCTGAAGCGAGGTATCCGGATTGGTTAGCAAATCCCGTCGTGGTTAAAAAGAAGAACGGCAAGTGGAGAGTCTGCGTCGATTTCACCGACCTGAACAAAGCTTGCCCTAAAGACAGTTTTCCGCTCCCACATATCGATCGTTTAGTGGAAGCAACCGCGGGAAATAAGTTGCTATCATTCATGGACGCTTTCGCAGGATACAATCAGATTCTCATGCACCCCGACGATCGCGAGAAGACAGCATTCATCACAGACCGAGGTATCTACTGTTACAAAGTCATGCCCTTCGGACTCAAAAACGCCGACGCGACGTATCAGCGACTCGTCAACAGGATGTTCTCCGAACAGCTCGGAAAGACGATGGAAGTTTATATCGACGACATGTTAGTCAAATCCCTTGAAGAAAGCGATCACATAACCCATCTACGCGACTGTTTCCGTCAGCTCAACAAGCACAACATGAAGCTTAACCCGGCAAAATGTCGTTTCGCGGTAAAGTCTGGAGAATTTTTGGGATATCTCGTAACTCACCGAGGCATCGAGGCAAACCCGAAGCAGATCGATGCTCTACTAAACATGCCCTCACCGCAGAACAAGCGCGAAGTCCAACGTCTCACCGGGAGAGTCGCAGCCTTGAACCGATTCATCTCGCGATCCACTGACAAATGCCTAGCTTTCTACGATACTCTGCGCGGGAACAAGAAATTCGAATGGACCGATCGCTGCGAAGAAGCTTTCCAGGAACTGAAGAAATATTTGGCTAATCCACCGGTGTTAGCGAAACCAGTCCCGGGCGAGCCGTTATTCCTATACATCGCAGTCTCTGACACGGCTATAAGCGGAGTCATAGTCAGGGAAGACAGAGGGGAGCAGAAGCCGATTTTTTACGTCTCGCAAACTTTCACCGACGCGGAAACACGCTATCCGCAAACTGAAAAGCTCGCCCTCGCCGTAGTAATGTCAGCGCGGAAGCTACAGCCATATTTCCAGTCTCACTCGATTGTCGTCATGGCGCCCGTATCGCTCCGAACCATCTTGCACAGTCCAAGCCAATCGGGACGCTTAGCCAAGTGGGCAGTAGAACTCAGTGAGTATGACATCGAATACAGAAACAAAACATGCGCGAAATCTCAAGTCCTGGCCGATTTCATCATCGAGCTACCAACAGAGAACGTCCGAGAAGAGTCACCCAACGCTGTTTGGATCCTCCACGTCGACGGCTCATCCTCAAAACAAGGTTCTGGCGT